GTGGGCTCGTTTTGTACTGTTTATCTGTTGCGCATCTCCCCCGCACGCCAATGGTCATTAATACAAGAGCAGTATATGTACAATCATTTCATTTCTCATGTCTTCTGCTATCCTGTTTCCTCATCGTAAGACTCGTGCAATACATCGAACTCGATCATGCTAACAGTCGTGATAGAAACATCGCATTCATTTCCAAGCTTAGAGGCCTGGCGTGTGACAGGCATGTGGAGAAGCAGCACGTGAATGCAAAGTGAAGGATGAAGCTTTGAAGGGTGGAACTGCTACTTGTTGAGCAACTCTGTCGTCGTAAAATATTTTCCTCAGGCTCGTTTGGTGTTTCACTTCGCAGCGATGTTTGAAACATTAGTGATAGAGACCGAACGAATGCAGCTATGATTGAAGCATGCCTCGATACATCTGATCTCGATTCTTGTCAAGTGAAAAGTGTGTATCACTGTCTAAGGGGATTCTCCAACAATCGTCCATCTTCGCTTATTCCACTCGCTTTTGGTCAAAACATCCAGCTTGGATGAAGGCAGAGCATCCGCCAAGTAGACGATAGTAAGCATTGAATGATAGTACCGAACAAACAAAGTTGAGTGATCGTTGGAGTTCCAGGTTATCATCCTTGTTGATGCAGGAGGTATCGCTCCATGCTCAGCGATAACCCAGATCACGAGCAACTTTACAGAACGACTGCAACTTCGCAAGTCCTCTCAATTTGTACACAATCCTGTCTCGGATGTCGCGCGGCAGTGGTTCTTTCTCTCCCTACCTATGTGATAGCATAATGCGACGGAAAAACATCTCCACCACTTCTTGAATGTTCTACATTCGGAAATAGGGATGTTTCATTGTGGACGACAATAATTCCCTGTATTGTGTGGTCGTTTTGGAGATGCATATCTGTGCCTCTCGATCGCACACGGGCCTGGTAGTGATGTCAATTAGACGAAGCGGGGCGTCATCGACCTGAGCATGAATGACCATTCAAATAGCAGACTCTACCTCGGATGGAGTGAAATCATCCTCGCGCAACTCCGGAGAGAGGGTCATTCAAGTAGGTTCGTGCATTATTCAGGGCTTCATACTTGGATATCAAGAGTATTTTCCAACTTAGAGAGTATAGTTTCGCAGGATGGATAGATTCGTCATAGCATTGTGCACCGTGAAGCTTGAAGGGCGGCATGCTTCGACCGGTACCCGCGGTAGGTCGAGGGGTCGAGGCCAGTGATCTACGTAGCGATGAAATGAATAGTAGCTGGAAAACAAGATATGCCTACACACCAGTTGCGCATTGAGAAGCACTGCATTACGGGCTCTTGCGCTTATAGTGAGGATCTGCATGAAGCATGGTCAGAATGCACCAAAGATCAAAGGCAAGAAACATGCATTAAGCAAAGGCTCCTCAGGCGCTGCACACTTCGAAGATTGTATCGCCACATCCATCGGGGATTTCCTTACAATCAGCAGAGAAGGTGAGGCAGTCCACCGGTTAGAGTGCTTGAATACGGTGATGGTTAGTCCATTCGAGAACTCCAAGAGATTTCTCGCTGCCATCCTTAACATCTTTGCCGGAGTCGACCGCCGTCTTTGTATCGTAACACAATTGATACGAACATGCGCCGGCCTGGGGCAAGGTGCCGGTTGACTGTGAATAGATATGTCAGTAAGTATTGGAAAATATGTATAAGTAGAACGGGAGGGTATATACACGTCCAGAAACGTGTAGTCAGATGTAATGATTAAGAAGCGAGCGTAGACCGTGCGTGAAGGCAAAAGAGCATACGGCGCATAACAAGAGTGGTAGCCTTGACGATAGTAGTTGTGATCCAGTCACAATCCCGCTGAGCATTCTGGTTTATTCGAGATTCCGAGAATATGAGCGAGGTAAACTCAGGGAAGTCTCAGAATACGGTATCCAGTGACGGCATGCTGCACTGCAAACATGCTAAAGATTTGATGTCATCGGGTTTGAAATAGGCTAGAAGAAAAATGTGAGATTGAGAGGCAATGCTCCCTGTCGAACTTTCTCACCACCACCGAAGTAGTGCCTTAGATATAGATATAGGGAGATGTACATGGTACTAGTCAAGTGCTAGTTGCTAAGCGCTTCGCCTACACATCAATTGAGTTGTGAAGCGAACACCAGGATAACACATGGAATGCACCTCGTTTAAAGACGGGATAAATGAATGGGTACGGAACTTCCACAACTCCAATCCAAACGCCCACCGAAGGCTGGTGGTTCCAGCACTGAACTTAGCTAAACTTCTCGTGAGCGATACTCTGAGCTCTTCTGATATCCACCTGCTTACCAGCGATTTTGAATACCCACTAAGGCCTCTGCACATTCCCCAATACGCAACTCCTGCATATATAGTCCCGAAGTTGGCTTGTGGGCGAGGACTGTATTCCTACAAGCAGGTTGTTTGGTGAGTGATGGCTTGTACGCTTCTACTAGCGAGAGCTGAGGTGAAGAAGATAGGCGGGTTGAATTACCAGGAATATTTTCCGCTGCCAAACCGCTCGTTTTAATTCAAATATCCTGGCGGGCTTCTCTCGCATTCATATCGCACGATCTGCTGTACTTAAGACCTCCACGCACCAACTATGTCTTCCTCGGCCAGTAATAAGCAAGAAATGCTAGCAGTCATGCCCTGTCAGATGATGCGAGGCCATACCGACAATGTAAAAGGTGTTGTGCACCTGTTTGGGGGACGACAGATCTTGACATGTTCGTGGGACGGCTCACTGCGACTATGGGACTTGGAGAGCGGCGCACAGATAGGCGAGGACTGGCGAGATGATGAGGCGAAGGAAGCAGGGGTGCACAACATAGCATTGTCTCCAAACGGCAAGACTGTTGTCAGCGGAAGTAAAGATGGGAAAGTGAAGTTGTGTGATGTTGAGACAGGAAAGGTCGTCGGAAAATTGACAGGACACACTAACCATGTGTTGTCAGTTTGCTGGAGTGCTGATGGTAAGCGAGTAGGGAGCGGGTCCTACGATGGAATGGCAAGAGTGTGGGATGTTAAGAGCGGCGAAATAATCCTAACAATCAAGACTGGGCACCAGTGTGTGTTCGCGGTGATCTACTCGCCCGACAACACAAAAATTGCGACGGGAGGACTCAAGGACGGTGTAAAAATCTGGGATGCAAAAACGAGCGAGTTGCTTGTCACACTCGAACACGATTGGACAGTCAACAGCTTGGCCTGGACGTCCAATGAAAAGAAGCTAATCTCCGCGACATATGATCTGATTAGGATATTCGCCACAGCCACTTGGCAGCAGATCGCCACTCTGGGGGGTCACACATACCTTGTCAACGCCATCTCCTTATCTCACAACGACCGCTTCCTCGTGAGTGCATCATGGGATAAAACAGCGCGCCTGTGGAATCTCGACACCAACCTCCAAGTCGGTCTACCCCTCCAGCACGAAGATCAGGTGGAATGTGCAGCCCTTTCCCCTGATGGAAAAGTGCTGGTCACTGGTTGCAACAACAAAAACATGTACACATGGGACATTCACGCCATACTCAGAAAAGCTGGCCTTGAATATCTAGTACTATCCATTCCTCATGTGAATACAAATACCGCATGCTATTCAAACTATACTAATCTCCCACTCGCAGTTCCCAGCTCGAAAGTCATTAAAGGACGTACGTGACGTATTTATTTACCTTGTTTAACCATTTTAATATCAAAATTCTAGAGTAGTACTCTGCGACCTCCGGCTGTTCATGCCTGTCGAATACCTGCAGGTTTTTTCGATGGCGCCCAGGTGAGTCGTCCACATTTTTTGACCAGTTTTTTCTGTCTGACCTCTGTACTCTCAGTCCTCTGCAGCGCATGATACCTGTACTCTTTCTCCTGCACACGATGCTCGCACCGCCCATCCATCCTTTTCTAACAATCCACGTATTCTTCTCGAACGCCTTTCGTCGTTCTTCCGCCGCTCTCGATCCAGTGCCAATGAAGCAACCGAACTCAAGCAACGCCCAGGGCGCTCCATCTTGTCTGATCGTAATCCTCGCGCTGTCCAGGTTCCTGCCGTACGGGACAAACAAGTGTGTATTTCTTGGCGTATGTTTTCTATCACTGTGGTTCAATTACTATTTCTGTCTAGGCACTGTATGTTGCTCCACGGTTGCGGCCCCAGCAGCAAAGCCGGTCGCGTGTCCAGGCCTCGTCGTCGCAATCTCAGTCTGCCGCCACCTTGACGTCCACTACACCTGCTCGAGGTACTAGCATTGCTGCACCAGGTGCGGCAACCGCGCAATCACCACCAATCCCATTGTTGGCTCGTTTCGTATTGTTTATCTGCTGTGCATCTCCCCCGCACGCCAATGGTCATTAATCCAGGAGCAGGACATGTACAATCATGTTATTTTTCACGTCTTCCGCTATTCCATCAATCTTGTTTCCTCGTCATAAGACTTGTGCAATACATCAAACTCAATCATGCTAGCAGTCATGACAAAAACATCACACTCATTTCCAGAAGTGTGGCGTGTAACAGGCATGTGGAGCAGCAGCACGTAAATGCAAAGTGAAGGATGAAGGCTGAAACTATCCCTTATTGGAGACAAAAAGTGAAATAAGCACAAAAAAGCAACCAGTGATTTTCCCTGATGTAATTGTAGTTCGAAGGTGCCACTACTACGAGGGTGTAGAATTGTTGTAAGTGTGCATTAGGAAGATAGCGTGCAAACGCAGAAGCTCACAAGAACCCTCGATTACCAAAATTTTGACAACACGTGCAGCGTGCAAGCTGCGGAATCCGCAAATAATAAATGTGAAGATAAAACACCACACGCTGTCACGGAAACGTCGCAGGACCCTCGGCACAACAGCTAGACCCGCTGGGTGACTGAAGCCCATATAACTCATTTCTATTCATCATATCTGCTGACCTATACAGGAAGTACATGATCGATTACTCCTCTAATGCCCCAATCAGACCACAGACGGGGGAAACTGTCATATCTTCTTTCAAAACTCGGCAGTTCGCCAATCGTCCACAAGGTCAGAATGAATGTGAGACCGTGCCGAAATACTGCAGGGGAAGACCACAGGACAGCTGAAGCAACGAAATTGTCAGCGACAAGGAGATCGAATGACACGAGGAAGTCAAGTACCGAGCCACTCCTGTGGTGAACGTGGGAGTGAAGCTGATCACTTTGCCTTGATCATCTTTGGCAGAAGAAATATCCAAAGTGGCCAACATGGTCACAATGACAGACCACGTAGAAGCATCAGCGGTATACCGCCCTGATTAAAGTCTATCTGTCAGCGAATCTTTTGTAGCATTAAGATAACTTAACGAACCTGGACATATACGCCGGCCAAATCCGAAAACATACTGTGCAGGGTCATCATCTGTCAATGCACCACCAACGTCGATGAACCTCTCTGGTATAAAACGAGATGCGTCGGGGTATCGCTTTTCATCCCGAGTAATGCCCCTACAATCAAGTTAGTATCACAAAAGCTGGAAGGAACATATCGGACCATGTGTTGTATGTGATGATTGCGCCTGATGTACGATATTATAAATGCTCATTGTTTTGGTGGGACAGAAACAGCGGACCTTTTGGAATGAAATAGCCATCGTATACGTCGTCACTCAAGGCAGCGTGGGGTATACCTATGAGATCATCTTCAGTACAGGTCAGATCACTCGGCGGGGAAGAATACCAAGGGGTGCAACGGGTTGCCATCGGAAAGTTTCCCGCACAACTGCATCAATGTAGGGTAGTGATGTTCTGTCCTCGAACGTTGGCAGCCGATCTCTGTCAATCACTGAGTCGATTTCCGCTTGTGCGCGTTTTTGAACCTCTGGATATAATACCATGGCCAAAACAAAAACCATCAAAATTGCCTCAGTCTGTAACGGCAATAAGCAGCGGACATGATGGAGTTATCCACTTACCGTGTCATATGAAGCTGTGTGGTATTAATGTGTCGAGAGCACAACGTTACTTGTGAAAAAGCTCACTTACCCCCAATAGCAGTAGTAGCTGCTTTCTTCAAGGCATTCTCCAATGCAGGTTTGGATGTCTCCTCTTGTGTTTCCATCCGTCGCAAATTTTCTGCGACCATTGAAGATTGAGCGACGAACGAGCTGTCGGCCTTGGTATGGGTCGAATCGATATCTGGAACCAAGAGAAAAATAAATACCCACCATGTGCTGCTGCACATACTGAAATGGCATGTCGGCCATTTGATTGACGCGCTCAGTCGAAGCTCGAGCACTACGCTTGATCGAGGATCCCCAGCACCAGTCAGGTAACTTTAGTACTAAAAGTGCATGTTGTATTAACGCTTTCTCATATAGGAGAATTGAGCTCACAGAAGGGGAAGGTCTTGAGCATCAATGCTCTCTCTGGCGTCAACACGGCTGTGCCCGGATTCAGCGCCTTTACCACAGTCCGCACCAGAGGATCATCACGAGTACTGGCATCGTAGCCATATACAGCCGACATCACAACAGATAATGAAAATCTGTAGACATATAAATAATGGTTCAATTTGTAAAAATCATTTGCTGACGTTGCGAAGTGGTCATGGTAATGTCGAGGATCATCGATCAGGTTGATGACCATCTCACGAGCCCGTCTGATCTGCATTGAGCGAAATTTTACTGCAGACTCAGGGCGGAAAGTTTGGTGGAAGAGTCGTCGGCAGAGACGCCATTCATCACCATAACCTAAGAATGCAAAGTTGATCGACAAGCCGTATCTGCATAAACCTCAGACTTGATTGAATAGAAGAATACCGAAGGAACGCACGGCTTGAGTGTGGCTAGGTATGGTCGATCGGAATAAATTCGAGAACGCTTGTCCAATAAGGCTTCTGCAATGTACTGAGAATTGACCACAACCATTTCCTCGCCTATATTTCGCACGAAGACCAAGTCCCCTGATACAATGATTTGCACCACATATGCCCCATACTATCTGTTCACGTACCATACGTAGCACCCCATTTAGTATAAGTCAGCCAAGGCTCCTGAGGGTCGATAGATAAGACGTTCCCTAGTAATGGGAGCGGCACTGGGCCAGGAGGAAGAGAGGGGTTATTCTGTCGCTTCTTGATGAATCGGCTAAGTACCGTGACTGCGACAAAGGAAAGAGGAATGCCGGCGAGGATAGCAAGGTGACCATCGACTGCAGGTGCCATAATTCGAGCAATGGGTTAGCAAACCGTATATAACGTAACCATCCTTATAACCACGGGGAAGTAGTAAGTTGCCGCCTGTGCGTTGATTATGCGACTCGGTCATCTGTCTCCTCATCAGCAAAACTGCTGAAATGAACACTTAGCGGCCTGTCGGTATTTAGAAATATATTGCTTCTAGCTCAAATTATGTCAATTTCTGCAGCGCCAGTGGATGACCAGGCCAGATGGGGTAAGGAAGGACATGAACATAGAAGGGGAAGACATACAGGTGTAAGATCGGGCGAGTGGCGTGTTCGAGCTTGCCCATCTTTGCATTCCAGATTTTTGTTGCATCCTCATGGTATCCGCCCGTCGCAAATTGTGTTTTCGGGTGAATAGATCACCACCTACGCAGACATCTCTAGGACTGTGTCCCCGCTCTTGACATCCCACACTCCGGAGGGAGTCGTACCATCTGTCATCCGTCAGGCAGGTGCACAACACCTTGTACCCGGTTGACTCTTCCTTCTTACTGGTCGGGGAGGACATGGTTGGCAGGGATTGTTGGTGAGTCTACAGGCCTGATAGTAGTGCACACAACGCGTTATTCCCGAGATAACCTACATGCAGGAATTCAATGTTCAATCTTGACACACAAAACTGCTTCGGGACCATATATTCGGCAGTGACTCTGGTGTCATTCGAGCATTCACAAGAAATCTTTGCGCAAATACAAATTTTCCGGCATGTGGAATCGTGCTATCTAGGTCCCAATATCTGTCAGTATCATGAGCAGCAGGTGTCGCGGACGCCGAGGGGGGTAGGCTGAGATTACAACGAAGGCGCCTGGGCTTTGCAGTTCGATTGGTTGCAATTTTGCTGTGTTCATTTCAGCTTGAGCAACAACCAATGCCTGGATAGAGACCATTAACCACAATGGTTGGAAACACACACGAAGGCATACCCTTCTGTCCTGTATTGTAGCAACTTCGACAATATGAGGAAGTCAGGACTGCGACGAGAAAAAATGGACTGCCTTGGGTGTTACTGAAATTCGGTTGCTCCATCGGTATTGGAGCGAGTGTGGTGGAAGAGCGATGGAAAGCCAGTGACAGGCGTACGTGGATTCGCAATGTGTAGAGCTACAAGGATGGGTACCACTTGCTTCAGAAGACTGAGTGCAGAGCCTCTAGAGTTCAGAATAGGAACTGACATTAACGAACTAGTAATTGCTGGGTAATACAGCGTAAGGCGTCTGGTAAGGGTTTTATTTTGAATACCATTAGTAGCTAAGTGTCGTAGATGCGTAAGCCAAGCTTACAGTCGGTCACGACTCCCACTATGAACTCGTTTCCAAATCGCGTGAACGAGGTACAAATCGTTTCAACTCGTTAGTCCGAACTGTATCGATTATCAGAATTTTCCACATCGACCCGACCCGAATCACCCCGGCGGCAACACTAAGCTGAAGCGGAGATGTTGAACAGAATTGAGGGTCTTTCATTGCGAATGAGGGTGCCCGGACCTTTTTCGCTCAGGGTTTGAACTTTGAAGTCATTCGAAGGAACCGAGAGAGAGATATCCTTGACAAGGTTTTAGCCTGTTTTAGCACGGCGCCGGAAATCGGAGCCTGCGGATGTTTCTGGCACCACTTGAGCGCAGCGGTATCCTTTCTTCCTCGCCTACCCTCACTTCATCTTCTCGATGACGAGCTCGAACCCTTTTCTTGCTCCGGATTTACTTTCTTTTGCATCCACCTCTTCCTTCCATATATTGCTTTACATCTCACCCATCTAATTTGTTTTCGCGTTCACACTCATCTCACTTCGTAGCACAGTCATATTTAGTCCTAGTTGAATATATTTCGATTTGCGTCCCTTTCCAAGCCTAACACGACCGAATCGGCTCCAGCTGCTTGCGTTCCACCCTGAGCTTCGCTCGGTCCAACCCAACCACCCTTAGGTCATGTCGACAGGCAGTAGCCTTGAGCACACACTCCGATGCCTGGATAGCAACACTGCTAGTATTATAAGGGCTGGTCAATTCATTCAAACCGGGTAAGTCACTTGGTGTGCACATCATCTTCCCTGTTCTCTGTGCTGGCCTTGGTCAATTCTTTCAGTATCTAGATCTTTGTTGTTGTTTCAGTGTCGCCTGGGGTCGATTCTGAGACGTCTGAGTGAGTCACCATCAATTATGGAGTTGACCTACTAGAGCCTAGCTACAGATTTCCATTGCCACCAAAGCCGTAGGAGCGAACCTTCTTTCAAGTTGCTCCTCGGCATGTGTTGTGTCGAGTTCCCCATCAAGTTCTTCGCATCACAAAACTTTGGTTTATTCCTGCAATTAGAAGCGGATTCTGGAACCGAGCTTCATTGCAATTATTACTACTAGATAAGTTCCCTTTTCAGTCTAGCGGCTCCCATTGCAAATGGTTTTACAAGCATTCCTTGATTTTCGCTCGCGGGGCAGGGTCATTATTCACCTTCTCGGCCCTGACTGCATAGTGCTTCTATTGCAAAAGAAGTTTACAAAATATTGGTCAAAATCTCGTTTGCGGGGAATGTTTGCCGATCGCAGCAACGGGAGGTGCAGCACTAGTGTCAGCTCTTCGGTTCGAGGAGTTGTATGGTCAAATTTTCCTCGCATGTCCTACATCGTAACCTGTCTTGAACCCAGCACAGCCCGCGCACTTATAATTCGGCTCCAATACGCTCTTCCGCTGCTCGTCGACTCTGGCAATAGAGTCGAGCCGATACGGCAAGGAGCAAATTTGTCGACAGTGAGAGCAGCTATTATGGTTACGGTATGCTTGAGGCCATGACCCATAAGTTGGCGCTCCACTCTGGCACCACCGAAGGAGTTGCTAACCATTCTTTGTCAGGTTTTATTTGCAGATTTCTCGGCAGTGACTACTACGCCCGGCACTTCCATGTTCGCATCAAGTGACTTGCCTTCAAGTGAACGCGAACTGAATGAATTGAGCAGCCCTATGACATAATGAATACCAGTCGTCTCAACCTTACTCGGTCCTTACATGGCCCTCATTCCATGTACGTGCTCGTGCCTTACGTAGAAAATCAACGGTGTGCACAATATATATAGGGTGGACTAGACGAGATGTATTCAACATATTCAATTTCCAATCCCAGGTGCGCTTACCATGAATTTCCAAGGAGACGTGTTTGGCTACTGGGGTCGAAAAATCATCGAACATTATGATGATGCTCTCCGCAAAAGCATTCCTCCGCTCACCACGGCTCCTCATGAAGAGACCTCGCAGATACCTGAGCTCCCTAAGCGTGGTTATGGCCCGCTGGGTACAGTTGGAATTCTAGGTGCAGGAGTTGGTGGTCTATACACCGCCCTTATCCTAGATTCGCTGGACATCAACTACGAGATCTTGGAGGCGTCGGACCGCACCGGCGGACGCCTCCTCACCTACAACTTCCCGAATGGTGGTAAATATGACTACTACGTATGTCGTTCATTCCATGCTGCTGCGCCAAAGACGCTGACCATGTATGCTCTTGGCTTTCATGCTAACTAGGATGTTGGTGCCATGAGGTTCCCCCTGCCGAAGAAGGACGCTCAAGGCAATTACAAGATTGGAATTATGAGGCGATTGGGCGAGTTAATCAAGTACTCGAAGCTCAACAAGGGTTTGTCCAAGGCACCTCTAAGCTCCCAACTTATCGATTATCATTCTACGTCAAAGAGACAAGGGCATTTCCTCTACTTCAACGACCAACGTTATCAAGTCTCTCAGACATCGCGCCCTCCTGACTTTTGTGCCCGGGAGATGGGTGTGGATTCTCAGTACATCGCCGCGGGAGTTGAAAGTATTGTCCAGGACGTTATTCGGCCGTTCGCTCAGGACCTCATTAAAGACTTGGAGCAAAATGTCCATTCGGGCTGGCAGCAATTTAATGGAGCACGATGCATACTCGCTTCGCTCATTCATGTTACACAAGTACACTCCCAGCGCCAGCCTCCAAATTCCGAGCACGTATCTTTCCACCAACGTTATCAATTGGTGCGAGACATTCGATGACAGCACAGGCTCGTATGACCGCAGTTTAACTGAAGCGGTTCTTCTGTCGTTGGCATTAGCCAGGGTCGAGTCGCCGACCTTTGGGGATGTAGAATGGAAGTGTTTCAAGTAAGCGCACTTCTGTCTTGAAACTCGTGCAGTTTCACATATCATTACCGTACCCAGAGGCGGTTCTCAAGTGCTCACCGACTACATGGCGGCATACCTTACTGCTAACGGCACCAAGCCTGTCATCCAATTCAACAAGAAGGTCACGAGCATCCTTCAGAGTGGAGACATCGCAATGGATGTTTCTGTGAGGGGCGAATGTAGCCCGCGCACATATTCGCACGTTATATCGACTATTTCTCTTCCAGGCCTACGGATGATTGAACTTGGGGGTGCTGGTTTAAATGTGATGCAGAAAAATGCATTGCGTAAACTGCAGTACAGTCCTTCAATCAAGGTTGGCATGCGCTTTCGATCAGCGTGGTGGACCGAACTTTTCGATATCATAGGAGGCCAATCATTCACAGACCTTCCTATTCGAACTGTCGTCTATCCCTCCCATGGGGCTGAATCTGACACACCGTCCACAGTGCTGATTGCGGGCTATTGTTTGACAAGTGATGCAGAACGCTTGGGAGCGCTTATCAACACCGGTAAGATAGAGTATGACGAGCAATTGAAGGAACTTGTGCTGCACAATCTCGCGGAAGTACACAATGTGGATTATAGTTTCTTGTTGGATCAGTACGTAGACATGCATGCATGGAACTGGGGCGACGACCCGCACACCATGGGTGAGCCTTTGAACATTGATGTAAGCCGATCGTCGATTCTCACTCTCCACTACAGGTGCCTTTGCGTTCTTTGGGCCTGGAGATTTTCAGGATTTATACACGTCTCTCACCGTACCCAATGCCAACAAGAGGCTCCATTTCGCTGGAGAGGCCATCAGCATTCATCATTCGTGAGTGAAAAACGGTTGAGTCGTTTTGTTGATTATAATTTAAAGCAATTGTAACCTGCAGGTGGGTCGTCGGTGCATTGGACAGCGCATGGCGTGCAGTGTATGAATACCTGCTCACGTCCGGACAGCATGAGAAGATTCAAAAGTTCTTCGATCTGTGGGGCCAGAACGAAGAGTGGGTAGGCCAATCCAAACATGGAAAGCACGATCCAGCTGATCCAAACACCATGTTACGAGTTCACATGGGATACACATATGCTGGTGAACTCAATGGGAAGGTGAAATTTTGAATAAGTGCTGGTTAGCTTGGTAGTGTCACCCTTGAGCTGAGACATAGCAACCGTGATATCATCAGTTCACTGATGAGTGCTTGATATTGTAGCACCTACTCGTACATTATGAACTGTAGCACAATGAGAAGTCAACATTAATGTCATAACAAGGCGGCGCACTCAATCATTTTCGCCAGACAACTAAAATATTCATATTGCACGGGTGCACGAATATGCAGTTGTCCATATAGACGAAGAAAAATCACGCCGTCTTTCTGCGTTTGCTCACGTCAAAGTTCGATGGAATCGCCTTGCAATAGCGTGAGGTCCAGGTTGGACGCGACACGGCGACACAAGAGGCCGGGTGAACTAAGTCTGTGAGTGGTTTCGGTGCTTGCGAGCGATTCTCGAGGACAGAACTAGTGCAGTGCGTCCCTGCAATGCAAAGATGACGGAATGGGAGCTACAGACCTGCGCGAACCAACAGACACGTCCGAGTCCTATTACCAGAAGCGCCGGGTTGCTGATTTGTCAGTGAGGTCACGTGCGTTGGTGTTTTACACGCCTCTAGTCAATACAACCAACTTTTCGAAACGACCTTTAGTCACCGAATCTGAGGCCTGAGCAGCAACCGGTTACCCTCTTGCATCCTTCATGTCACAACGAAAAGAAATTTACCTTGTCATTGGAGGTAGCGGTTTTGTTGGCCGTCACATCGTCGAACACCTTCTAGCTCGTGGAGACATTGCTAGTGTATTTGACATCGTCCAGCGACATCACGATGTCGACTTTTATTCCGGTGATATTACGGACGAATCCCAGCTACTTGATGTATTGCGAAAGGTGCGCGCTCCTGCGCTCATTTTAATGGTCATCGAGCGCTAACTCACTTTCCTTCTCTGTGTGGTGTACGTCTGTTTACTGTCGGAATAACTGCAGACCGGTACGACTTGTATAATTCACACCGCTTCACCACCACACGGCGCCAAAGATCCAAGTATATATTATAAAGTCAATGTCGATGGCTGCAAAGCCGTCATCAATGCAGCGCAGGCCGCTGGTGTGACAAAGCTGGTGTATACAAGCAGTGCCGGTGTCGTTTTTGATGGTGGTGACGTCGTCAACCTCGACGAACGTGCTCCATTCCCGGAGAAGCCATTTGATGCATATAACGACTCAAAAGCACAGGGAGAGAAACTCATCCTCGAGGCCAATGGTAAGGGTGGACTACTGACTGTTGCTTTGCGGCCTGCAGGCATTTTCGGGTATGTCATTTCTTCATATCAACCAATCTTGATACAACGCGATACTCTTTAGTGAGGGTGACCGTCAAATGATGGTAGGCCTCTACCAAGCTTACCAGCGTGGGCAAACCCACTTCCAAGTCGGAGACAACAATAACCTCTTCGACTACACCTACGTCGGTAATCTCGCAAAAGCACATCTAATCGCCGCGGACAAACTATCATCTCCCTCACTTCCTACATCCTCACAAGAGACTCTCACTACCGACTCACTCACGGCCAATCTTCACCTTGATCGCGCCCTCCAGCCTGTCAGCGCAACAACCGGGGTAAATCGAATCCCAACATGCGAAGCACGCCCTCTAGGGCCATACGTCACGCTACCGCCTAATGCTGCCGAAATAGAGGCAGCGTTCACCACTCCACGCGATCCACACACTCCCGCGCACCGTATCATACGCTCCCGATTCGACCAGTTCTCCGAAAATGCCATTGATCTCGCGGAGACCTCGTCGCTTGCAGGTTGCGGGGCAAGTGTTTTTCATCACGAACGGCGAGCCGGTGTATTTTTGGGATTTTATGCGCCTCATATGGCTTGCGCTCGATCCGCCTTCGTCGAAGTCCCCGTCGGGCGCATCGGAGCGGGCACAGCGGCCTGCCTGGGTGATACCTAGGAGCTTCGGGATGGTGCTCGGTTTCCTTTCGGAGTGTTGGGCGTCCTTGATTGGGAAAGAGGCTGGGTTTACGCGATATAGGGTTGGGTATAGCTGTGCTACGAGGTACCACAACATCGAGAAAGCAAGGCGTGTGCTTGGATATGAACCGGAGGTCGGGCTCGAGGAGGGTGTCAGAAGAATGGTAGAGGTAAGTGTCGGCTGCTAGTTTTTTTTCAGTGCGACTGATTGTTTTTCCCGTGCAGTGGTTCAAGAAGGAGAACAATCTTCCGTGATCATCGGCTTTGGATGCCTTTCATGCTTTATTGATACCCCCTCGGTCGGCTTTTCAACGATATATTGTATTTACAGTAGCAACTTAGGAAATATAATATTGGCAGTCTTGTCCTTCGTTTGCCTCTGCAAATAGACACTGTCTCTCTTCGCGTTCTCACCCTCGACAACGGTGTATGATTGACCGTGAGTAAAGGGATTCCTTCGAAGGTCGAGCACGGTTCGTGCTAACCTCAAACCTTGACGACCACGTAATGTAGTTGCATACGCCAGTCGCAAAGGAAACTGTCTTCGGTTCACCGTCTACGATAAGTAAATGGTTTGGATGGAAGGCAAAGTTGATGCGGGGGATGCAGTGGCTTTCAAAAGTATTGATGAGTTGGACTACAACGAATCGACGATGCAGAGCAACTACGCGCACGCGCGCGTTTTTGACCAATCCTCTATGTACGGAGAGGTCTCGTTGAATGGCGCAGTTGCAATTCTATTTGAGATCCAGGAAATGAGGTACTCCAGGATGAGTCAACATCGCAAGGTAGTCAGGTGTGTTCTGGTGCATTTGACGGAGTGTGCTCGGCTTCTTTCAGGCTGTCTGAATAAAATAAGATTCTATGTTGTCTCGTGAGTGGAGTGTGGGCTCGATGTCTGCTCGCGATACTTATGAAAATCGCCTGGCAATTTGTCCAGAATTTGTCGTTGGATCCCTCGAAATAGACGTTTTGAAGACAGGTTGAAGCGTCTTCGAAAACATGTGGTGGGAAGAGGAAGTTAATGGTATTGTCGAAGTTTGTAGTCGCTGCTATGAGTGGGAGATTCTGTCGATTTCCGGAGCAGTCTTCTCCAATGCTATCCACGAATGCCGCCAATTGCGGGTCAACCATGCTGCAAATTGCGGTGTTGAGACTCAAAATCCGCATGTCTGGCAGATTAAATGTGGTTTAACTACACCTATGCATTTGCGGTCGATGTTGTTGGGCTGGTTGTCGACTCACCTACGAATGTGTATCGTAGCACCGATATCTGTACTCGGGGATTTAGTGGATGCCTTGCACCAATATTAATAGCGAAGGACATGGCAATGGCTGCAAGAATGGAGTGACATTATTGGTACCCAACGAAGTTTCCAGTTCGCAAGTCCTACGTGGTGTAGTGGATTGCCTTCACTTGATTGCAGAACGCAATCAGCAAAACCCATATAACAACAAACACAACGCGCTAATCATGAGTCAAGTAAATCTAGATATGCAGCCCGGCAAACCATCCCAGCACGATCGCGAATTTTGACCAGTGAACGAGACTCTCCATTCCTGTAGCCACATTAATTGACGCTTTCCATGAGCGAGGAATCCATACCTCCGTGCTTGCTGTTGCAATTCTAACTGCACTGACACTGGGACAGCGCCGATGGCGAAACCTTCTCCGCGGGACAAAGACATATTGCCAGTAGTAACGTACCCAATGATAGACGTGTGGGGCGGAGCAGCCTCGGGGGGCTAAGGGAGCAAATCACTCTACGAATGCACGATCAAAGAGAAAAAACGACGAACCTCATTTGCATCTGCACGCGTCTTGCCATTGTCTTGGATAATCTTCTTAACTTCGACGTCATTGACGCGGTAGATAATGGCAAGGTCGTTCGGGGCGCCCCGACTGACCATTTTCAGACGGACCATGACCAATGCCCCTTTCAGGAGATCCTCGGGGCGATAACCTGGATCGAGTACATCCATACCACGTTTCGTCCGAAGCCTGTTGATCTCTGTAAGGAGACCTGCGCCATTACTAAACATTTCTGTCGCTTTTTCGAGGATAGTCGGCACTTCGGGACCACGGAACACCCACGGGCGAACGGTGGGTACTTTGTCAACCTCCATTGCATCCTGAGGCTCTCTTTGTGCCGGCACAAGGTTCGCATCTACGCCTGGCGCCACCGGGAGCCCAAGCACAACTTCCCAATCCGCCCGCCATGGGCTACGGGTACCAAGCTTCTTATAATTGGCCCTCTTTGCTGGTGGTGTTCTGTTCCACTTCGCTTTCTCCTTAAGGGCGAGCTCATCCCAAAACTTGTCGTAGAACTCCGTGCAAGGAAAATCTCTCGGAAAATACGCAGTGCCTGCCTCGAAAGCTTGTGTGCTTCGCTCTCGCTGCCCGCCGACGCGTGTGCCAGTGTGTATTAGTGAGGGGAGGAAAGGCATGCCCCACCCAGCAGGAAAAACAAGCGTCCAGCCGTGGATACCATGAATGCTGTTAGGCGATTCGAGAGATCGTTGTATGAGCAACAGTGGGATACGATCGTCCTGACGAATGGGATTAAGAGGCGTGCCTGGAACAAGATTCTTTGTGTGCAAGTTACATATTGTACCTCAGTACGAAGGCCAAAGAGGGGCTTACTTTGGAACGGCGCGCATCAAGATCTTTCTTCTTGTATGTAGGTTTTTTGAGCACTGAACGCTTCTCTTCGTCCCAGATTTCGCTTTGAGCAAGGATGGCTGCGGGGAACGTCATTACCGCGGGGCGTTGAACGTCCGTTTTGACTTTGGCGTTCTTAGGCGGAAACCTGGGCGGCAAGTTACTCATGTGGACAAATCAAGTAGCCTGGGATGCCTACTTCAGTCGTGGGTCGAGGACTTTCATCCCGATGACTATTCCGCGCGGTAAGGACGCTGTGGTTTGGAGATCAGTGAGGGACGGCCAGAACTGTCTGCGCTGTCAGATTTTACAAGGAGATCAGGAAAAGAACGAAAATACCTTTTTGAATTCTTGCCTATCATCATCTACAACTGAAGACAAGGCGCCCTTGATAACCTGACTTGATTTGGGCCCCATGATTTCGAAAGTATTGACGCTGCCTCGCAGATCGGCTATCTTTACTTCTGCATACACATCTTTGTGTCGCTGTTTTTCAGCGTCAAGGACCAATGAAGCAGATCCCTGTAACGCTGCGAAGATGTCATCGAATACTGCAGGGTGCGAACGCACCCAGACTGCTCTCGTGGGACTCTGTTGAGTTGTGTTAGCCAGTACGTTGTTCTTCCCTTTGCGCCTGCGTTTAGAGGAGCCTTCCGCTGGGGGTGCATTCGTCGGCGCCGACGTATTCCCAACAGGTAACGGCTGCCACATGATCGTTACTGGTGCGATCAAATCAAAGGGGTAGCTTCCTGGTTTGTATAAGTCCGTCTCGAGCACACGAGCACCAGACATGGACCTGACGAATGATTAGTTCACGCTTTTCCTTCAACCTCGCAGACTGACCGCTTCATTCCAGTGCACTGAGGATCACAGCATAAATCCAGTACACTTCGAAGGATGTTTTCAGGCCCCTTGAGCTCTATCAGTGAGTGGTACGACGAATCATGCAGGATTGAGCCATGCATAGAGGCTCGATGTGAGGGACGGAATGATTTCTCGGTCGGTGTTACTGCCTGAACAAAGGATTCAGAAGGAGCCTATAATCACAACTAGAGACCAACGAGTCTATATCCCCACATGTTTTCCATCTTCATCCGCTTGGCGTGCCAAATATGAGTCTCAAGCCAGGTCTTGTCGCCTGGCAAATACATCGTAAGTTAAGGAGCACGCGGGGTCATATGTTTACTGACGTTGTCGCTTCAAGAGGGATTCGGTGCGGCTCACTTGCTTTGTTTTCCCCTGCTTAGAGCGTCCACGCTTAAGTATGCGCCGGGTAACAGGAACCATCTGACAAGCAAAATAAGAAAAATTTCCGAGCAAGTGGTTTGAGCCTCACCTCGGCGCGTGCTTTGTCTCGCAAACGCAAGGGAACACGGCGGACATCATGGCTAGCGGCTCGTCGTCGTAGATGGCGGGGCAGAGTCTGCCATACGCGATGAGTCACACTTTCCCTGAGGACGAGAAATCAGTAGTTGTATATATTGAGACACATGCTCCTAACCCTGCTGTCTTGATCGCTTTCTGCATGGCATCGATCTCATACGCTCGAGCCTAGTATTTCGCAAATGAACGAGATAGAACTGGAATGGGTCAAAACACGTACCTCTGTGAACCTTTCCACATCAATTGATGCGGGTAATCCCTGCATAGCTATTACAGGTAAATGTCAAGTGAAGAAATATCACACCAAAGATGCTCACAGTCAAATCGAACGGTAGTACTTGACGGACCGGCGAGCGCATTTCCTGAAGATTGGACAGCTCCACTACCACTGGTTGATACAGATGGCTGAACTGCAATTGTCCGAGCACCTGCAACTTTGAGTTTCTTCCGTTCCCGAGACGTCATTTCCTCCGCGTCGTCCCCCTTACGTTTTGAACCCATTTGTGTTTGAAGTTAGATGATGCACTGTTTCCTCAAGAATAGGTCCCAGATCTGGTTTATGCACTCATTCAGCACTGGCAGAAACCGAGGATTGGAAGGTGGGGAATACAAAATCTTTGAACTGAAAGAACAAAGTAGAGTTGCCACAAACGCGACATCTAGTACCGGCTAACGCCGAACGACATCCTTCCTCTCACCACCATGGCCTCGCGTTGTCTGGCTCTTAGCCCAAAATTTGCACAGCGCTCAGGTGCACGATTTATATCGACAACTAGAGTGCTACGGGAAGAAGCAACCACTTCACCCAACCTAGGATTGGTGCAGCCGCAGAAGAGACCGGTCGGGGGCTTTCGGGGCGGGTAAGCAATATTGCACGCGCCTTGCTATATGATCTTACTCTTACTTGTTGCTGGCGCAGAATAATCGGGTTTTTGTTTGGATTCTCGCTAGCTTCTGCGTTTGCTGCGTACCATCTTTTAGACGAGTATAAACTCGCTTCCGCTGCGCTGCAGGCCAGCGTGGAGGAGCTACAAGCCAGCACGGAGAAGGTCTGAGACCTTGCGCCTCTTGAAGCATCCCGTTTGTGTTATTTATGATTTCTTCAGGTGTCTGCACACGTCCGTCGTATCGAAGCAGTGGAGAAAGACTTGAAGGCGCTTGCTCAGAGCTCCGCAAGTAAAGATGACCTATCAAGGGTTCGTGCAGAGCTCAAGAAAGTGTACGATGGATTGCATATCGGTACGTTGTTGCGTTTAGAGAGCACCAGATGAGCTTACAGACTTTGACAAGAATTCCTTGATCTGAGATCACACGTGTGGGGCATGCGTCAGTCATTATTGAGTTTATTTGATGCCTACCACTGACGAAAAGTTTGGAACAGAACAAGATTTGCATTCATTAGCCAAGAAAGACGCCACGTCTGTTCGTGTATAGGATATATCATACCTATAGAATTCCTTGGAAACATCCCTCTAATCTCCATCAACGGTTTGAAATTATTTTTGACAAACATAGACTTCCATATGATTTTCACATGATGAAAGTCACAGCTAGGAGTATCCTCGGTTCCCTCTAATGCTTAACTGGCTGCCCTGAAGTTCGAAATAGAATGAGTTCGAGGAAACTGCTTTTCATTCTGCATTTCGCCTTCAATACATCATAATCCGCGCCCTGCTGCTTCGGGTAACTGCCACACGTCAGGACTCTAAGCTTTGGAAGTGCGTCTACTGCTTCAATCACCGGCCGGAGCGAGCTATCTATATGGTCTGACTAGGGGAAACTAGGTATCGCTACGCGTGGAGCGATACTTACTGCATCAACAAGAATATGAATAACAACCTTGAACTCCACCATTAATCACTCAACTCCATGTTTGTTTGGCACCATCATTCAGCGCTTATCACCGTTCACTTGGCGGATGTTCCGCCTTCATCTAAGTCAGGCGCCTTGGCAAAGAGCGAGTGGATCACGCGAGGATGGACGGTTGGAGAATTCCTCGCTCTCAACCCGTATCTTGACTACCACTCCCCTAACCGCACGGACTCCCTTGCGATTATCCAGGAGTTGCAGGGCGCGACAGACATAGATTAACGTGAAGCCCTCGTCGCCTTCTGTCCAGAGATGACACGTGCCCGAAAGAAACTTCAATGGGCATCGACCCGTGTCACCACGTCGCAAGAAGACATTGCCTACTCATTGTTTGACACCTTCCGAGTCGGTCACTTACCAGTTATTCATGGCGAAATGAAGCAAAATGCTATCGGACGGCTCTTGCGGGAGAAACTGGCACAGTTGGGTAATATCACTGTCCTGGATGACTCATTGGGTCGGAAAATCATCCGAGTTCAATAGTTGTCTGCCAGCGGATTGCTTCACACGAAGCTATACCATACCTACCCCCGTACCTGTCCGAGGTTGAACTACAAGCATCGGTTTCCTTGCTGCGAGACGTTGGATCTGGAGTGCTGGCTTCGTCATTGTACCAGGGACTATGAACTGACTCACTTGAGTGTTCCCCGTTTTGTGCATTGCTGGCTGCATTTGCATTCTATTCCAAATCATAGGTATGATACAGGCGAGGAGACATGTTTCACATTTGACGTCAAGGCAGACTGGCTCTGATCTGCTGATCACCACGGAAGACAAGTTGATACGGTTCTCGAGGGCAAGGCGCACTCGGCGAACACTCTCACTCGCCTGTCCGTGGAATCGTTCTCTCCTTGAGCTGCTGCACTCCGGGCGATACACAGAGCGTGGCAAATTGGTCTGTAGCCAGGTCCTCGTCATCCAATTTCCCGGAGTCTCAGGGTTGATGGCCTCACTTTGGACAACAGCCTTGCGGTTCATTTTTTGTTTCTCGAAATCCTGGTGTAGAAGGGCCGATTCATCATGTCTTTCTGTATCATCTATGCCGGTGTGTGCCCAGACAACATTGCCGTATCCAACAATCACCCTAGACGAGTGGTGCTCATCGACTCTGTGGTATATGTATTTCGTTCTGATGAGCCTGATAACATCTGGAAAGAGGCTGTCATGTGCGAAGGGGATGAGAGGCAACTTCAGCCCTATATGGAAACGCTTGACATTTGGCACCGGAAATGGTACGCATAATGCTCGGGAGAAAGTAAGTTGGCTTAATATTCCAGAAACAAAGACATGATCTGACCTCCATGTACTTTTGCAATTGCGTAGGCGTAGCGTGGTCCATCCATGAACCCCGGCCTCGGGGCAGCAAGTCACGGTCAATACCTCATGGCAAGCTGATTCGCCAAAATTATTATAAAAAAGGAAGCTCTGAACCGTTGAACGTGACCCACACGATGTAGCAGCGATCAGCGCTGGAAGTTTGAGAGGCGAATATTCAGTCCAATGAGGTTTCCTTGGAACGTACTTAAACTAGACAGAGCCGAGCTTGGCGGCCGGCAGCAACCTTATTGCACATTCTACTTCAAGTTATCATCACACGGTGGCACATACTGAAACTTCTCATCATGGCTGCTTTTGATGACTTGTCAATGTCATTCGTCTTTGGTGGATAATATGCCTTGAGGCTCTTCATATCTTCCGAGTTCCCTTTCGAGCCGCCGTGGCTACGCGGTCATACTGACGAAGTGAGTAGATTGGTATGATGCTCACATGCGTTCATAAACTATTCCAGAATTGCTTTTTTCCATCCCTCAATGGCATGCACACAGCGTATCCATATGCTGTTCCAGCCACATTTCGATCAAACTGTTCCCTCATATCCATGTGGCAGCCTTTCAATAGATTATTGGGCATTGCTTGTGTGGTATGTAAGTGGAACGGCGGCTCAGGTTCAAACTTGACCGAGCCGTACTCGCACCCCCGATTTCAACAGCGATCGATGAAGACACAGGCAAGTCACCATATTACTCTGTTACAGCGACTGTAATAAAACTACAAATCTGGAATGAACCGGATCCAAGCTACTGTATCATATGCGCCAGAAGGCAGCAATCGTAAGCTGAGCATCATAAGTACAATTATAATAAGACGTGCGGAAATGTAGCAGGTCATTATGATGACAATGATTCCCCATCTCTGAGACATTATACTAGCTGCTTAAAGCGTATCGACAGGCCATTCCTGAAAATAGGACAACAAAAACACTCCAAATGAATATGCTATCCAAATGGAGGCCATACGCCACAGTGTCTGCTCTATGGGTCTTGGAAACACGAAATTCCAGTCCAGACAATGTATCCCTCCAAACAGCATTCCACTGATGCCTCCAATAATGGTGATTATAACCTTTTTCCGAGCCAGACTACTAGACTGGTCAGATAGGAGAGACCGAAGGATTAATAGTACCCTATATTTTTTGCTACATAGAATGCAGGCAAATCAGAACAAGTCCTGTCAGGAATGTTGATGACAATGACATACTTGTTGGCTAAGCTGTCATGCGGTGGAGGAGTAGTTGCCCCCGAGTTCCAATGAACAATATGAGGACGTCCTACGTCCATCGGCTTCTCCACCACAAACAATAGGCAATGCATGTCAGAGCAGCTATACCCAGGGTATCAAGCTCAAGCGGTGTTACTGGGAGGTTCTGAACGTAGCGGGCGATGAACTGGATGATGAGCCACACCAGCTGAAGAATGGCGACCAATTTGGATAGTAAATCGCCCTTGCTTCGATCTTCTGTGTCTGCCTCCGCGATGATAGGCATGTCCACAGATCCCTCACGAACAAACTGCAAGAGTTCATCGGGTGTGAGAGTGGCCCGCGGCTTACCATCGACGTAGAGCATGAATCCACCCGTCCAGGCGAAGAACCCGTGTGTCAGTTTCCATCCTGTGAAGGGATTAGTTTCACGTTAGTTTCTTCCTGATTGAAGAGTCCGAGTATGTAACTGACCTGCGCTTGAATTTTGTCTTGAATCTGAGATGAAAAAGTTCGACGGAGAACCTCATTTATTTTCAATCTTATGTTTCTTCCAACCTGTTTCGAATTCGATATCATCCAACCTTCAGCATGTTGACAGGCTGCGCATATGATCTCACTCTTACCACTCTTACTTTTTGTTGCTGGCACAGAATAATCGAGTTTCTGTTTCGATTCTCGCTAGCGTCTGCATTTGCTGCGTGCCATCTTTTGGACGAGCATAAATATAAACTCGCTTCCACGGCGCTGCAGGCCAGCGTGGAGGAGCTACAAGCAAGCACGGAGAAGGTATGAGACTTTGCACCTTTGTGAAGCATTCCGTTTGTCTCCTTCAGACGTCCGCACGTGTCCGTCGTATCGAAGCAGTGGAGAAAGGCTTGAAGGCGCTTGCTCGGAGCTCCGCATATAAAGATGACCTATCAAGGGTTCGTGCAGAGCTCAAGAAAGTGTACGATAGATTGCACATCGGTACGTTGTTGCGTTTAGAGAGCATCAGACGAACTTACAAACTGACAAGAATTTCTTGATTTGAGATCGCAAGTGTGGGGCATGCGTCAGCCATTATTGTGTTTATTCAATGTCTACCACTGACGAAAAGGTTGGAACAGAACAAGATTTGCATTCATTAGCCAAGAAAGATGCCGCGTCTGTTCATGTATAGACATAACTCATTGCGCTGAAGTTCGAAACAGAGGAAATGCTTTACAATGGCAGGGTCTTCATCCACTTTTTCGGGGCATCAGAACAGAACAGGCAATTGGTATCGAATGCGTGCTTACCCATGAACTTTTATCTTCTTGGAGTACCACAAAACATTCCTCTTGTTAGCGAACGGTGTTAATGACCATCGGTACTTGGGAGAGGTGCACAACAAATCAAAAGCACGAGACGAGCCAGCAATGTAAGGAGTCGTGACCGTACAGTTGCTGTACGTGGTGTGGTAGCCTGAATGCTACTATTCGAGGTCAGGTTTTGTTGTATGCGTCGAAGTAGCGGCAGGCCGAGATTGCGATGACGACCCCTGTCCATGCGATTGGCTGCTCTGTTGCTGCGTTTCCTTGGGCCTCGGAGCAACAAACAAGGACTACAGCAGGATGATTGAGCCACGATGAATGAATACACGCGCGCGAGGAAACTAAATATCTTTCTGTCTCGTACTGCAGCAACTTTGACAGTACGAGGGCCGCGAAGAGAGAAGATCCCTTGCCTTGGGGTTCGTCGGAGTTCAGTTGTATCACTGGTGTAGGAGTGATGACGACGGAAGAGCGACGGAATGTGGGCGAGAATGCGATGGGAGGAAGGGGGATGCACATCGCGCGATGTGGAAGACTGATTGGATGATGTAAGAGCAAGAACTGATTCAAAAACGCTGACCACGAACATAGATGTCGCCTTCATCGAAAAACCTTGGGGGTATTCGACGGGCATGAATAGGTGGACGTCGCGTAGCATTATTCTAGGGTGACGACGCTAAAGTTGTTGAAAACATTAAGAAACACGTCACGTACGTTCACTGGCTGCTTTCGAGCTAGGAGCTGCGAGTGGGAGATTAGCTCGGATTTGACTAAAGAGCCGTAAGATGTACATGAGGAATAGGTAGGAGAAGGTCTTCAAGTCCAGCGTTTTTGAGAATAGCCTGAATATCCCATGTGTACACATTCTTGTCACTGCCAGTGACTAACACTTTTCCATCGGCGGAAAGGGCTGCGCATTCCACGCTCTCTTCGTGCTGAAGAGGTGGGCCGACTGGAAGGGTTGTGTCGAGGTTCCAGAGATGCACTGTTTTATCATCCGATGTACTCACAAGGAGGCGGTTGTTCTGGGACAAGGTGATGGCGTTGACCCACTTTTGGTGGCCCTCCAAAGTGGTGATCTGCTGCCAAGTGACTGTGTGAAATATCCTGATTGGGCAAAATGATCCGAAGATGAGCCTCTTTCCATCTGATGTCCAGGCCAAGCTGAAGACCCAATTATCGTGTTTGATTGTTGTGAGTAGTTCGCCTGTCTTTGCATCCCAGATTTTTACTCCGGTCTCGTCTCCACCTGTCGCAAATTTTGTTGAGTCGGGCGAGTATATCACCGCGAGCACCCATACGTGCCCAGTCTTGATTGGACCCAGGACTGTTTTGCTGCTCTTGACATCCCATACTCTTGCTGTCCCATCCGTGGATCCGCTCACAACTCGCTTACCACCTGTACTCCAGCACACTGAATTCACGATCTTAGTGTGCCCTTCCCATTTGACAATGACCTTTCCCGTCCTAACGTCCCACAACCTCACCGTCCCATCATCACTTCCGCTTGCTACAATGCTGCCGTTTGGAGACAATGCTAATGTGGACACTCCTATTTCATCCACCCCATCTCGCCAGTCATTTCCAGTCTGTATCCCGCTCTCTAGGTCCCATAGTCGGAGTGAGCCATCAAATGAACATGTGATGATGCGTCGTCCACCTGGCAGGTGCACAACATCTCCTACACGTTTTGTATGGCCTTGTATAGTCTGACAGGGCATAACCTTCGGCATTTTACTGGTTTTGGATGACATGGTTTGTGCTTGGGGGCTCAACTACGATAGATGGTCGGTGATGTGCGCAGGAGAAGCGCACCGACATCAACTTCCAATGAAAACGGCTTGTCTTGCAATTGCAGAGATGGCTGGTGAGTAATTGGCCTGTTATTGTCAGTGAAATTGAGGTAAACGACTTCTCACAGGAATATCAATATTCAACCCTAAGTCGCAGGATAGCTTCAGGGCTAGTATGTATGTAGAATTTGTGAGTGATCTTTGTATTATACAAGTACAAGTCGCCGGTAAGTAGGCGGACAGCTGTATAGCATAGGGTATCACTCACGAGAAATGCTTGTTCAGACCAACTTATAAATTAGATGATCGACACTACAGTCGCCTGTAAACTGAGAAAGTGGGCGTTGGGTTTAGAGTTGAGGAAGGTGGGCATCTATTCCTTTAAGGCATGTTATTGCGGTGCGCATTCCACCTGTCATCCTCGTATTCGCTTCACAGCTCAAATGCTGTGTAGGCGAAGCGCTCTTCCAGCCAACTTCGAACTCAGTGTCGTCAACTCAGGCTGTGCACCGTCCTACTAAGACTTGCTGTACCCACCCTAATTCTTTACTCTGATGTAAACCAGCCAATCCTATTCGATGCTGGCACTCCACATTCGTAGCGCCTATTACCAGGGTGAACTCCATTGGACAACAGTCCTACCTAGCGCTCCCTTTGTACTTCTTGATTCTTTAACGCTCCACAAACCTTGACCCCCTTCTAACACGAAGGGTATGCAGTCGTGCAGTCCAGGCAAATCATGTTCATTGTGATTTCAGCATGAAGCTGACATCTGGAAACATTTCATGAGCACTTATTGATATACACGACATTGAATCCGATGAACTTTCCAGAACCGCTACTTAATGGACAGTCTAGACTGGTTTTGAATGGCCATGATGCTGCTAGGACGGAGGGTGGCGAGATAGTCTAGTCCCCGGTCTCACCCAGAAAGGAACTTCGCTACCACTCGGGCAGGATCAGCTCAGGGCCTGGAGTCAGTATTGACAGGCGGGAAGAAGGAAGGTGCGCTCATCATTGTAGATTTGTAATATGATTGCGAACGGTACTGGATTGTGGTGAAGAGACCGAATGTTGTGCTGGGATCTCAGCCGAACCTCATGTAATGTGAACGTCGCAAGATTCCGCATGCTCATTATTGATAAAATTTTCGCATCAAGTTTGGCTGCATCCTGATAGACGTCCGGACGATCTAACCCTCTGATTTGCTGTCCCACGACGTTTTCCGGTCTGTCGAAGTATTGTTCCAAGGCGATTGTGTCGTCCCTTCAATGAATGCTGCAGCCTCGCAGATAATTCAGTTTCGGAAATCTCGTCATATTGAATAAGAAGTGGGTAATATGTATGCCCTGTGTCAAAACTGATGAGTTCACGGACAAGACCTATCATGGGGTTGTTTGGAACACCCAGGTGAGCAGCGACCGTCACTTGACTTTTTGTGCGATTGTATATCGTTTGTCACCATTCTCTAGCACGCTCATATTCATATCCTATACCCACTGCTTCAAGGCTCGCGGTGCGGAATGCTAGACAATATCACACGCTCCACTCAAGGTTGAGAAATGCAAGGTGATTGATTGTGTTACAGTACCTGAATAGTCTAAGTCAGGATCCCCTAGCCAGACCTATCGAAAGAAGATTGTCGCATTCTCGTATTGGGACATTAGAATATTCATTTGCGAGTAAAGGATGGTTTGGACCTTACAGAAATGCTCTCACCAATACCTTCTCTCAGTCTCCCTTATCATTCTTTATGAATCAACTCTCATCATTCCCATCGTAGGGATTTCTTACATGGCACGCGGTCTAGGCGCACGCGAGCCTGTCGTCGATGCTGCTGCTCCCAACCGAGGTAGCTCTATCAATGATCAGTCTTGGGTGAACACCCAACTGAGATCGTGAGTCGATGAAGGCGAGTAATGTGCTGGTCGTGTCGGCTGTCGATATGGTATCTTCGGCTTTGAGAAAGGTGAGTTTGTTGACCAGACCTAGACGAGCCAGTACTGCCCAGATACTCAAGAGAATAGTAAGCACCGCTGTGGCTAAGAGTACGTGATACCTTTGTCTGGTTCGTCATAGTGCAATGCATATCCCGAAGGTGATCATGCTACTACACAATAGTAACTTCTAAGGCTTCATCAACGACGCGATATAGGCTCCCCATCCCCTCTTTGTATCCATCGAGACAGGAATACAACACTTGTAGCTGTATCTCATAGCAGCGTATCACAAGATCGTAATATGTTTTGCCTACAAGGAATGTCTTGATTGTCCAGATCGATGATCATTGGTTGTATATACCCTGATCTTCAGCAAATCCGAGTCGCATGGAGGATTTAATCAGCTGGACCTCGTCCGAGATTGATTCAACATTTCACTTGATAAACCGGTATGTGTAGTGCAGTATAATGAATGTCTGAATGAGCAGAGATTGCCCCTGGCTGTTCATCCACTTGGATACCTTGAACGTTCCCCGTGTTAGCAAGTGTTAGAGTCCAATGCACGGCGAGAGTCCCACGACAGGAAAATACGATTAACGGAGTAGCGAAAGAAGTAGAGATACACAGAATATATATATATTCGTATGCTGCAATATTATTGGCCATCGGTACTTGGGAGAGGTGCACAACAAATCAAAAGCACGAGACGAGCCAACAATGTAAGGATTCGTGAGCGTACGGTTGCTGCACGTGGTGTAGTAGCCTGAATGCCACTATCTGGAGCAGGTTGTGTTGTAGACGTCGAAGTACCGACAGGCCGAGATTGCGACGACGATCCTTGTCCATGCGATTGGCTGCTCTGCTGCTGCATTTCTTTGGGCCTCGGAGCAACAAACAAGGGCTACAGCGGAATGATTAAGCCACGATGAATGAACACGCGCCCGAAGAAAGAAATACCTTTCTGTCCTGTACTGCAGCGACATCGACAGTACGAGGACCGCGAAGAGAGAAAATCCCTTGCCTCGGGATTTGTTGGAGTTCAGTTGCATCGCTGTTGTGAGGGCGAGGACGACGGAAGAGCGACGGAATGCGGGCGAGGAGCGCGCGTAGGCCCCCTGTAGAGGGTGCGAGAATGCGATGGGAGGAAAGGGGATGGACATCGCGGGATGTGGAAGACTGATTGGATGATGTGAGAACAAGAACTGATTCGAAAAACGCTGACGACGAACACAGATGTCGCTTTCATCGAAAAATCTTGGGGGTATTCGACGGGTTTGAATTGGTGGAGGTCTGGTAGCACCACTCTAGAGTGTCGAGCTAAGAATGGTTAAAAAGATAAAGAAACTTGATACGTACGTCCTTTAGCGACTTTCGAGCTGGGACCTGCGAGTGGGAAATTAGTGTGGTTTGAAGAGCATGTGGTACTTGGACTCACACGAGGAATAGAGAGTAGGTCTTCAAAGCCAGCTTTTTTGAGGGTGGCGTGAATGTCCCACATATAAACATTGTTTTTGTCACTACCAGTGACCAGCGCTTTTCCATCAGTCGAAAGGGCTGCGCATTCTACCCTATCTTCGTGCTGGAAGGGTGGACAGACTGGGAGGTTTGTGTCGAGATTCCACAGACGTATTGTTTCATCCCGTGATGCACTTGCAAGGAGGTGGTCGTTCTGGGACAAGGAAATGCGGACCCAGTCTGTGTGACCCTCCAGAATGGCAATCTGCTGCCAAGTGGCTGTGTTGAATATCCTAATCGGGCCAAGTGACGCGGAGATAAGCTTCTTTCCATCTGATGTCCAGACCAAGCTGGAAACTGGGTCTATGTGTTCGAGTGTGACGAGCAGCTCGCCCGTCTTTGCCTCCCAGATTTCTATTCTGCTCTGGATCTCCATGGGCTGTCCTCCTGTCGCAATTCTTGTGTCGTCGGGCGAGTATATCATCACATACACGAACATATGCCCAGTCTTGATTTCCAGGATTGTTTCTCCGCTCTTGACATCCCAAACTCTTGCCGTCCCGTCCTCGGATCCACTTCCTACTCGCTTACCATCCGCACTCCAACACACCGAATACACTTCTCCATTGTGCCCTGCCCATTTTGTGACAACCTTTCCCGTCTCGACGTCCCACAACCTCACTTTCCCATCTCTACTTCCGCTGACAACAGTCTTGCCGTTTGGAGACAATGCGATTTCGTGCATCCTTGTATCCTCCTCGTCATCTCGCCAGTCCTCGCCTATCTGTGCGCCGCTCTCCAAGTCCCATAGTCGCAGTGAGCCATCCCACGAACATGTGATGATGCGTCGTCCCTGGGGCAGGTGCACAATACCTCTCACCTCGTCGGTATGGCCTCGCATCGTCTGACGGGGTGCAACTGCTGATGTCTTTTGCTTCGTACTGGTCTTGGAAGACATGGTCAGCGTGAGGAACGTCTGAAGTATACCAGATCTATGCGAGAGATGCCGGCCAGGATTCTTGAATCGAAACAAGTTATCTGGCAACGGCAAATGTTCCTGGTGAAGTCAACCTCCCTATCTTCTTTGACTTCAACTCTCGCTCACCAGACAGCCTGCTTATAGGAATTCAATCCTCACCTAGAGGCCAACCCCGAACTGTAAGGATCTTCGAATTAGAACGAGTTATCTGACAACGGCAGATATTCCTGGTAAGTCGACCGGCCTATCTTCTTTAACTTCAGCTTCGTTAATAGAAAGGTACAAGCCATCGCTCACCAGACAAACTGCTTATAGGGGCCCAGTTTTCACCCAGAAGTCGACTTCGGCACTGTATACACAGGAGTTGCGTATTGGAGAATGGGCAGAGATCTTAGTGGTCCAAATTTGCTGGTAAGCAGGCGGATGTGTTTCAGAAGAGCCCAGAGTATCACTCACGAGAAGTCTAGACAAGTTCAGTGCTCGAATCACTAGCAATAAGTGGGCGTTTGGATTGGAGTCGTGCAAGTCAGACACCTGCTTATTGATGCCGTCTTTTAACAAGGTGCGTTCCATGTGTTGTCCTCGTGTTTGCTTCACAGCTTAATTGCTGTGTAGACGAGGTGAACAGGTCTGTGATTAGCGCCAGGTGCATCTTTCTATACCTGATGGACTACTTCGATGGCAAACAGCATCTCTTTCCATCTCACATGTTTCTAGAAGCATATTTCCAACCCGATGCCGCCACATCTTCAACATGTTGGCAGGCTATGCAGCATGACGTCACGAGATGTCTGTGTAGTATCTCCATCTTGCATCCCCCAGCGCTTCTTCAGTATCTCCTATTCAAATTCATTTATTCCGTTAATAATAAGCGCGACCTCATACAACTGAGATTAGGCTTGCAGAAGCATCACAAAGACATCTAGACTGCGGGTATGTCACCTAATGAATATTCTGGAGGTTTGTACGCTGTCACCTAAGACTTTCCCGTGGGCTGCTGAAGAAAGTGGTGTTGCGTAAAACTTTGTACTCTGAGTGATTTCGTGATGTGGAAGAGTAGGGCTTACTCGACCAGGAATCCAGGATCTGCATATAAGTGCGCAGAGGAGACTCCTGTACGACTGAAATGCGACCGTCTTGAAGATGTACCTCGACAAGGAGATGAACATGCAGAAGTAGTATCAGAGGGTTATGGAAATGAGCGTTCGGTCCAGTGGCTCCAGTCAATGCGTAATCACTACATACTGGCTTGGTGATTTGGCACAGGTAATCGGTAATGGAATCAGCACCAAGTGCTCACGTGCATGCTCAAAAATTTTGTTCAGAGAGGTTGTGATATCATTTTGTGTGCTCAATGACCTACACTTTGTCAGCGTCATTTTCAGGGAGAAACAGAATGACTAGTCGCAGCGGGTCGACACGTCTCGTGGATCCCACGCACAGGTTGCATGGCCACAGGCCCCACGCTGGCACGGACACATCTTGCCAGTGCCCGTACACCGGGGAAAATTATATAGCTGAAAATCACCGCGAGATCAACATGCCATGTTGGAACTAGCTGGACAGCATGTACAGCTTGCACCTCGCAGGAAGTGCGGTTTGGAGGGTAGACATGTGCAGTTGTGCAAGGGAACGATCCGGTCCAAGGCATGATGTACATACTTGGAAATCGGGTACTTGAGGAATAGATAGGGATGGAGTAACTGGTGCACGAAATGTGCAGCACAAGGAATTACAACTAAGTCATGTTTCTGGGGACTTTTTGAGATTAAATGCGAGGTTTGCCGGCATATCGTTGAGGCCAAGCCGAGATTGGGGAAGTTGTGGAATTCAAATACACACACCGTGAACAAAGAGATGATAGAATAATCAGATGAGATAAGGTGTCCATTGCTGCAATATTAATGCCCATCTGCATGCGGGTGAGATGCACAACAGAGAAAAAGAATAAAACGAGCCCGCAATGGAAGGGGCCGTGGCTGCGCGGTTGCTGTAACCGGTGTAGCAGTATGAATACCAGAAGCGGCAGGTGTCGTAGACGTCGAGGAGGCGGCAGGCTGAGTCTGCCGCAGTGACGATGCTTGGGTCTGGACCGGGCCTTGCGATTGACCTTGCTGCTGCTGTGTCGGTTGTGCGTTGCCATCGGCGTGTTGAGGAGACGCACAGCAGAGAAAAAGCACGAGATGAGCCAACAATCGGACGAGTAGTGGATACGCAGGTCTTGCACCTGGTATAGTGCCATTAGGCTGAGTGGGTAGCGACCGTGCAGCAACAAACAATACCTGCGTGGAGATCATCAGACACCAGAGACTGAAACACCAGATAAAGTCATACCTCCCTGTCCCGCATTGGAGCCACGTCGACAACATGAGGACAACTTGCACGTTGCAGAAGTTCGATTTCTTCGTTGATATGTGGTTGAGAGCGGAAGAGTGAGGACAGGATATCTATGAGTGCATCTGGACGTGAACCCAAAGAGGTTGTGGGGTGAGACTCGGTTTCCTCGTTGGAGTTGGGTCGGGATTGAGGCAAAAGCGAGGACAGGCGAGCGAGGAGTGTATGTAGATCTAACCGCGAAGGCGTAGTGGGTTCGTTTGTTGCATCATTTTCAGGTGGAGAGCCGTGAATGAGCGACGACAGGTGAGCGAAGAGCACACATGGATGCAATCTTGAAAGCGTTGGGGGTTGCGGAAGTTCATTTGTTTCAGCATTGTCAGGTTGAAAGCGGTGGAAGAGCGAGGCAAGGCGAGTGAGGAGTGCATTTGCAGAGGAATGAGGGTGGGCACCACCCGTTGGGCAGGACTAATCACACAGATATCTGAACACGAATTCATTGATAGAAGTGCTCACGACGTACATCATCATAGGCTTCCATACCGTCAAAAAACCGTGGTGAGAGTTCGTCAACACCCCCAAATTCATCATGACATTGCGTAGCATCGGCCTGGAATGTCGTTATAATGCATGAGAAGGGTTGGAAATACGTCACGTACCTCCAAAAATGACTTGTCGCTCAGCAAGGAGCAGGGGGTGCGCTCTATTCCTTGAGAAGCCTTCTGTGTGAGCAGCAAATATGGTTGGTGAGAGAGTGGGTGATATGTTAACACCCACAATATTAGTACCAATGGTTGGTGAGCCTTCAAGGCTAGCTTGTTTCAGGATGGCGTGAATGTCCCACACATACACATTATTGTCGCGACTCCTGGTGACCAGCATTGTTCCATCAGCAGAAAAGGCCACGCATTCCACCTTACTCTCGTGCTGGAGAGGTGGACCGACTGGGAGGTTGGTGTCAAGATTCCATAAGTGTGCTGTTTTATCATCTGATGAACTCGTGAGGAGGCGGTTGTCCTGAGACAAGGAGATGCCATTGACCCAGTATTTGTGACCTTCCAGAATGGCGATCTGGGTCCTCCCCTTGTTTCTGTACCACCACCATGGATAGTTTTTCCCACGCATAAAATTTGCGGGCAAGGCTGAGCTACCAAAGCTCACAGTCAAAAGCTGGCCCATTACCCTTGATACACTTCATTAAAAAACACAACTGAAGACCACAACCCAGACCTGAAACCGCCAAACTCAACACGCTCCGACCACCCACCATGACGACCCGACTAGTAAGGTTAAAACCCCCAACTCAAAATGAAGACAGTAAGAAACAACACCCCGATGTAAAAAGCCAACCCCCATCTCATTCCATGTGCCCTATTGCCACTGATATCACCCACCCTTGAGACTTCATGCCTTAACTAAGACTTATGAGTCCCCAATTACACCTAACCTCAAAAACCCTACCTGGCCATGATGCCCATCCCTGTGCCTGCAGACATAGTAATTCTAATCTGTGACTAAAACTAACAGATAAAAACCCTCATGTACCAGACTGACCCCCAGCCTGCTAGAAATGAAAGACAAAGAACCCACTTCTATCAAATCCATCTCCCAAACCACCCGCCCCTACCCCAGTACCCCCTGCTCCATGTCTCAATCTACCTGAGTTGGACCAAAATTCTTCCCCCCCAATGTCCTTCAGAATGATGACAACATGGGCCAACCTACACCCCTGCCCCCCATCCCCTCTTTGCCTACTATGTCTGACTCCCTTCTCAACACCCCAACCCCATCCCCACATGGAACTCAGGAGCCCCTCCCTACCCCTGACCTCATGATGTTGAGGGAGCCCCATGTTGAACTTCCAATGAGTAACCCCGCCATGGACCCTACCCACAGTGATCTCACTGAATCTATCCACACACCTAACAACATGCAAGGAGACCAGAACATGGAAATACCCACCAACCCTACCACACTTCACACCCCCACCACAGAGGAAGAGGCAATTCTCACGCACCTAGCCATGGTGGAGACCAATAGATCTATCATGAGCCAAAACAGCCCCCATCACCGCACCATCCTCCCCCAATTCATGCCCATCCCAACTGGCAGCTTCCCAAAAGTGCACATGTCACACTCAGCCCAGATCTTTGACCACCTCAATACCAAGGTCCTCCTTGCCTGGTTCCAGGTAGTGCATCCCAAATTCCTAGTTCGTGTCTTCAACCACTCTGGGAAAGATATCACTGAAAGAACCACGGTCATCACTGAGCACATATGTAACAGTGTTGCTATCATAGCAAACTATGTACACCAGGATGCTGCTCCCATACAAGTCTCCCCCCTGCAACCCCAAGGTGGCAGAAGCGCAAAAAATTACCTGACCTGCTTTTTGGTCCACAATACCTCAGATGAGACCAAAGAGCTAATCCTGAACCAGCACATCTGGTCCGCCACAAACATCACCTTTGAAGCCCTTCCTTTTGCCTGTCAACACCCCCCTGACCTCTTATTCTGCCTATCCGGCTTCACCACCTCCAACGTGGAAACTGTCCACAAAATGGTTGCAGATGTCTGGGCGCATGAAGACAACAGACACCACATAAATGATTTCTTCTCCACAAGCGAGATTGTGGAGGAGGAACTAGTCTACAAAGCTACCAGAGACCTCATTAGATCCATTTGCATCGAGCACCTCGACTTCAAAGTCACTGGTGGCCTCTCTGTTCCCTGTTTCAACATCTTCACTACCAGCCCAACCACCAACGCAAAGACCTGGATGGACCTTAGAGGCTTCCTGCATATCCTCGATTACCCCACTGGGCTTGACAGCTGTGGAACTGCCATAGCGCTCCACCCATGCCCCATCTGTCACTCTCTTGCCCACCCGTGTGGCCTATGCCCCTTCCCTGAAGTGCTGCTCTGGAATGGCCCCAGAGTGAGCAACAGGACCATGGCAAATGGGCCATGCACTTCCAGAAGGCTGAGAGGTGGGAGAACTGGTTGAAACACCTAGACATATACACTCGCTGCAAATACTAGACTGCCCAGCTGTACAATCAATACCTCATCCACATGTACATACCATCTGAAGCCCCACTCTATCCCCACTCCATTTACATTCCCTCATTTATCCAACTTACATACCTAGCACGCTTGTCTATCCCTACTTACATGAATCCAGTCCTTTCTGACCACAACTGCAATGAACAAGCACCCCAGCCCTAGCGACTCTGACCTAAGCCCTAAAACTTAGTGTGAAAATGAGCTGCTTGACAGCATAGCTGCTCCACATGAGACAAGAATGGCAGATCTAAGACTTGATGCCCACATTTACTGACCAAAGTCTCGGGACAGGAAAGTGAGAGTCGTCTCAACAATGCATGGTGCATGCCAGACCACAGAAACCTATTTAGGTTCGGACGAGCCATGCCAAGAGGCTGAAGTTACCATTAGTAGTGAATAGGAACATTCTGGGCATTGCTATTTGTCGAAAATGCTAACATGGTCTCCCGGGTAGCCAGGTTATGCTATCCCTGACTTATCATTAGTCGAATGATAAGTAAAGTACTATCGACTACCTCCACAAACTCAATGACACAACCCCCCCCCCCCCCCTGGTTCTTTTTTCAGCCTTGGTTTCAACCTCCCCAGGAGCAGAGGGGAGCTACCTTCCATCACCGAGGTGCCCCCCAATGACGCACCTAGAGAGATTGGTGGCATAGGACGGACTCTGCCTCACCAGGCTCCCGCTGACCAACACCAAGCGTACACTAACCAAAAGAAAAACACCTGCGCAAATGTCACCCTAGGGACGCTGAATATGAAAGGAAGAGCCTCACTAATGTTAGGCCCAAACTCAACAGCTAAATGGCCTTTAATAAATTAATTAATGAGAGACAGCAAAATAGGAATACTATGCATCCAAGAGATGCACCTATCTGATGAACATGAGAAACAAATCAAAGTGCTATTCCCAAGATGCCTCCTAATGCTCAACTCCTCAGACCCGAACCACCCAGGAAGCTCTGCTGGAGTAGCTTTTGTCATCAATAAAGAAATAATGAATGTCTCAAATGCAAAGATGTCAGTATTGATACCTGGAAGGGCAATAGCACTAACAATTAAATGGCATGAGGAAAAAACGATAAGAATTCTAAACATCTACGCACCCAATAACCATTTGGAACACCAACGCTTCTGGAACACTGTTAGATCATAATGGCTCCTCAATGGACTAGGGATGTTAGACTTCATGATGGGCGACTTCAACATTACTGAAGACCCCATTGATCAAGCCCCATCAAGACCAGACAATGAAAATGCGACAGAAGCACTAAGAAATTTTAAGATCAGCCTAAACCTACAAGATACATGGCGTCATGCACACCCGACAGAACGGCTCTTCACGTTCACCAGCAATGCTAACTCCCTGTCCAGACTAGACAGAATCTACACATCAAACACCCATGACAAGAGTGTATCAGACTGGAAATCTTACCTATGCCCCATACCCACAGATCATAACATTGTCCTCGTCTACTTTGCCCCTCCAGGACTACCACACATAGGACAGGGAAGATGGACCTGGCCACTAGGGATCCTGTCAGACGGCAACCTAATAAAAAAATAGAAGAACGAGGTATAAAACTACAGGAAGAGATTGAACTCAGAAACACACCTGAAACCAGAACCGCTTCAGACAACCCTCAAACCCTATGGGAGGCATTTAAAACCCAAATAAGCGAAATAGTGAAACAAACAGCAAATGCCCACCTAGCGAGAATCAACCAAAAGATTAAGCAACTACAAAAAGACATTCATGTGACTACAAACTCACCTGACATAGACTCGGCCCTAGATAGAAGACAAAACTGTAGGATCCTAGAAAAAGAACTGGAGCACCTTGAGAGAAAACACTACAAAAACTCCCACCTAAAAGCCCAAGCGCAATGGTCCCTAAAAGGAGAGACGATAAGCAAATACTGGTCAAAGGTGAACAAACCAAAGAAGCTGAGAGACCTTATATACAGACTCTGTATCCCACACACTAACAGTTTCACTTGCAAATCAGAAAAGATGACAAAAATCACAAAAACATACCATGAAAACCTCCAGCATGTGCACACCTACCCAGAAGAAATAGCACTAAGACCCATAGCTATATGAACTTCGACCAATGAGATCCCTCATGAACAAAAACTGAATGCACCCAACAGCCCATTACACGACCCTATCCAGGAATCGAATGTAAGGGAAGTACTCTACTCATCAAAAGCAGGAAGTGCAACAGGCACAGATGGCATACCCTATGAGGTGTGGAAGACCCTACACAAAAGACATAAAGAACAACAATCAGCAGAAAAGCTGAGCTTCAACATAATAAAGACCCTCACGATAATAATGAATGATATCCAGTCAAATGGACTAGCAAAAGACTCCAACTTCACGCTAGGTTGGATGTGCCCACTATACAAAAAGAAAGATAGATCAGACATTGAAAACTACTGACTGATAACCCTCCTCAACACTGACTACAAGTTGCTCATGAAAACGTTAGCTATGCACCTCGCAAAAGAGATACAAAACTTAATACACACTGACCAAAGTGGATTCATACCGAAACGCTCCATCTTTGACCCCATCAGACTATCTCAAATGATGATGGCCTATGTGGATGTAATGGAGGAAGATGGTGTGATAGTCACACTGGATCAAGAAAAAGCCTATGATAAAATAAGTCACGACTACCTGCTAGAAACACTAGCAAAATTTAACCTACCAGAGAGATTCATCAACACAATCCGAGCCTTATACAACAATGCATATACAAGTGTAACAATAAACAGATGCATGAGCAGCCCATTTAAAGTCACAAGGGGTGTGTGCCAAGGAGACCCCTTGTCCTGCCTGCTATTCAACCTGGCCATAGAACCATTAGTGTGCACATTAAGAAACTCACCCAAACTGAAAGGCTATGACATACCAGGACTTCAACATCAACTAATCGTAAACTTATATGTGGACGACACCACCATCTACCTCAAGAAAGGAGACCAATACAAAGACCTCCAGGAAATCCAGAAAAACTGGTGCATCACATCAGGAGCCAAATTCAACTTAGAAAAAACAGAAATCCTACCAATCGGATCCAAAGCCCATAGAGAACAGGTACTTGAAACAAGAAAACTAAATGAGGAAGACCAGCAATGGTCCACGACAATCAGAATAGCATGAGATGGAACACCAGTAAGATCACTGGGAGCATGGATAGGGAATGAACTAGATGAAGCAACCCCATGGGAACCAATCCTAGATAAGATAGAAAAAACCCTCAGCCTGTAGAACAAAGGACACCTGACCCTAGATGGAAAACGCCTGATAATACAAATGTTTGTAGGAGGCATGACATAATTCCTAGCAAAAGTGTAAGGAATGCCAAAGCACATTGAATCAGTAATTAACAAAATTATAAGAAAATTCATCTGGAACAAAGCAAGAACGCCACTGATCAGCCTGAAGCGCCTCCAAAAATCAAAGGATGAAGGAGGACTAGAAATACTAGACATCACATCTAGGAACAATGCAATACAAGTGACATGGCTGAGCGCTTACATAGACATGTCAAAATCCAGACCGGCATGGGCGTATGTCGCAGATCTGCTAATAAACACATTAAGACCAGATGGGCTGAAAAACATGAATGACCTACAAACATTCCTAACAACTTGGTCCCCCCCACTCCGAGGACCATGGGCAAACCACCTGCCTAAAGAAATTACTGAAATGTTAAAAGTAGCCCAGAGATACAACATGAGCTTTGCACCAATAAAACTATCACAACACCTCAAAAAACAACTCCCAGCATGGTTACACTTGGGAGCACCACCTAAAACCTATCTCAAATCAAGGGACTCATGCCTCCAATGCACCCACGCCATTCGATCAGTTAAAGACATCATGAAACTAAATTACAGACCTATCAACAACCAGAACCATAGACCAAAAAAAGACTGTGCCTGCAACCCCTGCATAATAGACAGATTAGTGGGATGCAAAAACCCTCATAGATGCATACAATCAGCATCTGCGATACTCACGAAGATAACTCCAAAATTCAGCCCTCTCAATACCCCACTGACCAATAACCTCACATTGACACACCACTGCATAGAGAAAAACACAAGAGCCATATCACAATGCCAAGGAGATATTGTCTTCAACCCCTCAGTAACTGCAAAGTCCTCCCTGACAGAATGCTTCAGAATCTTTGACAATACCAAAAACTCAACCCAACAACCAGCTCACTGTCTACAAAGACCAGGACATGGCAGAGGCACACAAGAATGGAGCATAGAAATATTCACTGATGGATCTTGCCTGAACAACGGCAAATAAAATGCGAGATGTGGGAGCGGGATCTGGCTTGGAGAGAATAACAATCAGAATAAGGCGCTGTTGGTACCTGGAAGCCCCCAATCTAACCAAGTGGGAGAACTCACTACTATCCTACTAGGAATACTCATGATATGCAATAGAAGGCCTCACTCACAACCTAAACAACTGGGAAGACCGAGGATGGACCAGTGTGACCAATAGTAATCTTTTCAGAGCGACAGCCTACCACCTGCATAAATGATCAGCGACAACTACATTCAGATGGATTAAAGGACACAACAGCAATAAAGGAAACAAAGAAGCTGACAGACTTGCTGGTATAGGAGCCAGAAAAGACACCTTCAATGAAATCGACACATCAATCCCTCCACACTTTGACTTAAGAGGAGCAAAACTCACCAGAATGACACAAGCGCTAGCCTACAAGAACATATTGTCATTCATGAAAGATGAACTGAAAAACTCAACACATGGCCTCCTTGACAGAACATGATATGCAATACAAAACATATCTGGACATCTCAAAACAGACCAAACACTGTGGCTCGGCAGATGCAACAAAGACCTATCAAAGAAATTTCAGATCTTCATATACCATGCACTGCACAACTCCCTAAAAATCGGAGACTTCTGGTCGAATATCCCACACCTGGAACACCAAAGCAGATGCCCAACCTGCAGGGATGCCACAGAATCCCTAGAACATATCCTCACCGAATGCAACAGCCCCCCACAAAAACTAATATGGCATTTGGCAAAACAACTATGGCCCCACAATGACACCCCATGGCCTGATACATCACTCGGCACCATCCTAGGATGCAGATCAATAAAAACCCCGGAAGAAATGTGTGAAGGCGACAAAGGGAGAATAAAACCAACGAATTCAATGCAAGGAAAATCAAGATTACTGCAAATCATTATCTCAGAGTCGGCTTACCTAATATGGGTCCTACGATGCAAACACGTTATCCAGGGCACATCCCACAATAACGAGAACATCATAAAACAATGGCACAGGGCAATTGATGCCCGACTTCAACTAGACAGAGTATCTGCCAGCAAAATTAAAAGAACCGCAAAATTCACCAACCTAGTCCACGCCACATGGTCAACAACACTATTGAAGGAATCACCCCTCCCCAAAAACTGGGTAACATCACTTGAGGTTTTAGTGGGTATTAAGCTTCCCCAACCCCCACAGACCAAGGCAACCTAGGAAGTTCACAGAGCCCCACACACACCTACCCTAGGTAGGCAGTGCATAAGAGTATTTTCCCTCAGACTGGCACCTGTAGCAGGAGCCACTATAAGCATTTATATAGAACTAGACAGTGTCAGTGGCTATATAATAAACTCGCTTGTCAAAAAAAAACAAAAAAGAATGGTGATCTGCTGCCAAGTGGCCATGTTGAATATCCTAATTGGGCTATATGATGTGGAGATAAGTCTCTTTCTGTCTGATGTCCAGGCCAAGCTGCTAACTATTAATCCATAGTGTTCAAGTGTGGCAATTAGCCCACCCATCTTCACATCCCAGATTTTTACTCCATCCTTGAATCCTCCAGTGGCAATTTGTGTGTCATCAGGTGAGTAGATTACTGCATACACATACTGGTGCCCAGTCTTGATTTCCAGGATCGTTTCTCCATGCTCAACATTCCAAACTCTTGTTGTCCCATCCTGAGATCCACTCAGGACTTGATTACCATCCACACTCCAGCATACTGGCAACACATTCTTAGTGTGCCCAGTCCATTTTGCGATGACCTTCCCTGTCTCAACATCCCACAACCTCACTGACCCATCTCTACTTCCGCCAACAACTGTCTTGCCGTTTGGAGACAATGCCAAGTTACACACCCCTGCTCTATTATCCTCCTCGTCTTGCCAGTCCTTACCTATCTGTGTGCTGCTCTCCATGTCCCATAGTTGGAGTGTGCCATCCCATGAACATGTCATGATGCGTCGTCCCCCAAGCAGGTGCACAACACCTTTTACCCTCCTGGTATGGCCTCGCATGGTCTTGCGGGGTGCTACTGCTGGCTCATCTTGCTTCTTATTGGTTGGGGAAGCCATAGTTGGCATTTGAAGGTTTCAAGTATTGCAGATCATGTGATATGTATGTGAGAAAAGCCCACCAGGATCTTTGAATCAAAGCAAGTTGTTTGGCAACACCAAATATTCTTTGCAAGTCGACCAGCTTATCTTCTTTAACTTGAGTTATGGCCAAGTGAAGTGCACAAGCCATTGCTCACCAAATAGCCTGCCTTAGGAATCAAGTCCTTGCCGGCACCAAAGCTAACCTCAAACAGTATATGCAGCAGTTATTGTGCATAATTGGAGAATGCACAAGAGATCCTTGCAGGTATCTAAAGACACTGGTAAGCATATCTATGTGTTGCAGAAGAGCCTAGCCTGCCACTTATGAGGAACACCATTTAGAATGCTCAAATCACCTGCAAACAGTGGGTGTTTGGATTGGAGAGAAAGTTGGGCACTGCTTCATCCAAGCCATCTTTTAAGGTACATATTTGCTTTACAGCTTAATTGCTGTGTAGATGGAGCGCCCACATCAGTGACTAATGCCAAGTACATCTTCCTAGATCTGATGGACTACCTTGATGATAGTGAGAAGTTCGATGGGGAACCACATTTGTTTTCTGTCTTACATGTTTCCTCCAGCCTGTTTGGAACCTCATATTCACCCTATGTCATCAAACCCTCTTATTTTCAGGCTGTGCAGTGTGCCATCATTGGATGTCATGTTCCAAAACCTCCCAGAACTTGCCTTGCTCATTATTCTTGGAATCTTGGACAAGCCAGGATGGTTGCATTGTGACTACATCACAGCCATGATCATCAAGGCTGTTGTTTCACCATTTTTTGTGTGATCATACCATATGTGTTTGATACGTGGTAACTCTTCATATAACATACTGAGTCCATGTTTTGTGCTCAAATTTCAGATTAGAACTTGAGCCACTTGTCAAATCACCACATAGCCATTTCGACTGTACCGACAAGCGTCAAGGACTACAACTAGTATACAAAGTGACCTCCCATCAAGAGAGTCCAGAAATCAGTTCAAAGCATCTGATGTGAAGATAGGTAAGCGAGTTGTCTGGATCTGTCCAGATAGCATGATCAGGATGGTGCATGTTGCAGAACCACATGCATCTGCCCTTCGCTCAGCTAAAATGGTGTTCTCGCACTCTCCTCAAGATGGGCAGCACCTGTCAGTGACGAATATCATATTAACTATCACTGTCCCCAATGCAACTGTCATTCCACTTTTCATCTAGCTTGGGGAATGCTCCCAAGTTATCATAATACTTTTCTCTTTATTTTCCCAAACTCACTATCTGGTCTTGTTACTGGAGTCTGGAACACATTTGCTCTCGCATATCTGCCACTAAACATGTAGGTGCTTGTACTCCCTTTCATCTCATTAGTTTTTGCTCATTTGTGTGCTATCCTCCAAGTCCAACATTTGGAGTGAGCTGACTTCAGGTTTGGGATAGCACATCGTCTGCCAGGCAGGTGCACAACATCTTGTATACGCGGTCTCAACCATGGTGGATCCTGGCTTGTGTTTGTGATGGGAGTCTGCCTAGATCTTCGAATTAGAACGGATGGTCTAGTGACAACAAAGATTGCTAGTGAGTCAATGAGCTTCCCTCATTCTTGCCGCTCAATACCAATACCTGCTACAGGAGACAAGTCAGTCATCGTCCACCCGTTGGTTTTGACACATTTGGGCATGCATGCCACTCTCTTGTTCTGGACAGTGAAGCAGGATCTCCTAAAGACAGGATAAGCATTGGCTGATATTGCACATCTGTAAATGCCTCAGGTGAAGCCTCTTGCATGATTTCATATGTAACGTTATGTTACACTGCGCTCTCTCTTTAAATGGACTAGCAAGAGATGGCATCAACAATGAGATTATAATATACAAGAACTCAATGTCAAGATGAGATGAGTTATTTAATGTGGCATTTCCATTTGAAACCATTCAAGGTTGAGTGGCAGATATACAGCTGAGTCCATACTATGAGGCAAGTCACTGAGACGCATCAACATTTTCTGTTCCTGAGACAAAGAATGTGATAAAAAATCAGTCTACCCAGACTACTTAGGTCTGGATAAGCTGAAACAATCGTTCGACAGCCCAAGGCCTCAGGTGAGAAATGTGAATGTCATTGGCTGCTAGTACAAGCCACGTCACTAGGCACAATATGGCAAACCACACTGGAGATGCAATTGAGATGATGACAACATCAGCAGTGTGGAAAATCAGGACAGACAATCCTGCAGCAAAGAACACCATTCTGTCGAATAATGAGCCACCGACCCATGTAATGTAACAAGTAATGTACACCCAAATCAGAAGTGCAAATGGTAAACTCAGCATGAGGGCAAGGCTCTCAAGGCCAAGCATAGAACGTGACATTCCTTCCATGAAAGAGGCCTGTGGACATAGATAATACAGATCACAAAATAGATAAGATTCTTACCACATCTTTAGCAGAGCATTGCCGGCTGTCATTAACTTGTCCAGCCAAGACCAATGAGACCACTAACAAGCCCAAGATGCAGAGAGTAGACAGATATGCTAGAAGAGTTGCTGACATTTGAGTCTGGACAGATTGGACTGCAAGGAAGCTGATGTCAACAGCAAGCATCACTGTGGACTGGGATTGATCATGATTGCGTGATAATATGAAACACATCACAACTCACATATATTGTGTATCCATTCCATTCACTGGTGAGTGTATCGATAAAATTCTTCCACTGCAGCTGAATGATAGTTTTATCTACCCATATCCTGTGAATAGCCTCACTCTGAGCATCAAAGGATCCAAACAGAGCAAACTTTATGAAGCGAAGAATCCATTTCAGGAGGGCATTGGGTTTTCCATATAATGACTGGTCTACATCAAGTTGGGTGCCTGGTTGTCCACAAAAATTCACAAACTTGGCATTACCTAGAAAAATGGTCAGGAAATTGGGCGTGCAGCATAATGACTTGAGCTCACAGAAAAGTCTTGTGAATCAGGCTGAAATTGGCAAACATATCAGAAGCAATCAACTGACCTTCTGCAATCAGACATACCAACTATCCACATGGAGTGTTCATGCTCTTGATCAGCGCTACCTGAAAGAATAATCAACAATGACCTCCCACATCAGGGAATTGTTCACTCATGAGTGAATCCACAAGGCCGAGCATACTATCAACCTCATCCAAAGCAAAAGGTGCTAGGCATGTTTCAGAAGTGATATTTTCTGTTGCAACTCAATCTTTTAAGCTTGAAACACTCATGGTTCTTTATTACTCACCTGCCTGAGCAAGCATTACAATTTCTCTGAGATTCACGATGGTATTTTCTGGGAGGAAGCGTTGTAGGGAACAAGAATCCTCTAGGTGTATATCGCACATATTTCGACACATGACGATTGGTACAGTGTACGACTCACTAGCTATGACTTTCTTGCAAAATGCACCAGAGGTGCGATGCTTTCCTGCTTTATGCGATGCATTCCTGTGCATGTGCTTAGTGCACTCTTCCTGCGCTTGGTCGCACTTTGTTGTGCAACATCCTGGAGCATCCATCCATTGTCCAACCAGTTCCCTAGTGAGTCCTTCCTCATCTATTCTCATTATCAGACCATATTTAGTATTTGTATGGCATTATTTCATCATGGACCCTGTCCTTATCCCATTTTACATACTTAGAGCGCTCCCTATTCGCTTCTGAGCCCTGGGAGCATGCCTAGGCACAGCTTACCTGTGGCCTAGGAAGTTTTCATACACCTACCACCATCATGTCAGTAGTCACTGAGAGTTAGAATCCATCATGAGCCAGCATCTATCATAGTCATCGCCCTAGTCTTCAGCAGCAGCCAATCATCATCTTTTACATGTTTGCGCACTGCATGTGCCTTATTCCCACGCTTCGCGCACCTACACACTCAACATTCCTGCGCACGCACTTCCAGCGTGCTTCACCAGAGTTGACCTGGTGTCACTTCATGGATTTGCTTTCCTTGCTTCCCTTAAGGGTTGAACATATCGCCTGGCACACTTCGACCAACACTTAGAGAGTCAGTAGCCTTCCTCTCACCACCAGAGTGAGAGCCACTTCTTTCTTTCTTTTGCTCTGCAAGCCTAGCAGAGCAGTTGAACCTTCAGCATTTGTTTGGAAATAGTTCGACATGTCTCCTGTCAATATCACAATATATAAGTTGCAGGAGATAAGAAGGACTGTAATAAAGGTGAGTACATGTACTTTGGTGGTATGAGGGAAAGGCATACTGCTGAGAGTTGTGTGAGCCAGTACTGCAATTCTAGTGCATACCCTAGGGACAGTGCAATTACAGAAGCTCGAATAGAAAGAACTGCACAGAAAGAACTCACTGACATGGCTTTTGCACTCCACACCTCAAATGTTATTCAGAAGGGGAACAGATTTGTGGTCTTCGAACCAGAAAACAACACATTTGTCATAATCAGCAAAGTAGTAGCCCCACTTCTCTTTGCCATCAGCCATGATGAGCTCCAACACTAGCTTGACAAGTGGATCCATGGAGATTTTTGCTTCACACACTTTTCTGTATGCCTCATTGACAGCTTCACCAATTTTGGCAGCAATCACAGGGTCTCAAACATTGGCATTGGTGAAAACTCTCTGGTGCATGGTATAAGTGCTTCAAGCCATGTAGAAATGGTGGTAGATGCACTTCTTTCAGATGATAGAAGAATAAAGCCCCTTCTGGGTGCATGAGCGGCTCCCATCCTACTACAGTAGCAAGCTCCCTACAAGCTCATTTCAATTCAAGTCTCATCAGTGGCTCTCTCACTGCCAGCATGCTTACTCTGAACAGTCTAAAAGGCCTTTCTTGACCTTAAACACTGCATTTGCATCTTTACTGTGAGCATGGGTTAGAACAGCAACTTACTCAGGATATAATTTGCCTACACTATAACATGCCTCTTGTATTGCTTGACTTGTTTTCTGGGCACAATGGGAATTAAAGTGATCAATTGCACTGGTGTGGCGATACCCAAGGGGTTGTAGATATTGGGCCTAGGCATAGAACTTGGTATCAATGGCACAGAAGATTTGCTGGGAGACTGTGCATCATAAGCTATGCTATTTGTCCTTTGATTCAGCTTGCCGTGAGTTTGTGACTGAAGGTTCATTCCAGGTAGGCACCCTTGGCTTTGTAGAGGTGTTTCAAGCAACAGCACTGCTAGGGTTACTGAAGGCATTGACCTGTCCACTGGCTGAGAGCTCAATGCTAAATCAGGCCATGCTCAAAAACATTCCCCCTTTCCATTAAAGGCAGATTGACAATATTTGATCAGTCACAGCAAGGCAGAGAGGAGACTCTTGTATGAGTGAAATACTGAAATCTTGAAAATGTGTCTCAACCAGGGTATGAACATGTGAATGTATCGTCCATGCATAATCATTAATGAGAGTGGGTAGAGCCAGGTACAGAAATTCTAGGGAACTTTGTCAGGCAGTGGGCGACAAGGCAAAACAGTGTAAGTATTGAATATTGAATATCCTTTACCCAACTGAGTTGTGACTCACTGGTGCTCTTCACATCTGAGACAATGCAGATACATTCTTTTTCATTATCACATCTTGTGTTCAGATTCCACAATCCCCTTGCCTTCATGGTTCAATTTTACTTTCACCACATGCACCTCATGCTCATTCTGGCCTAGTCAACTGCTTGAAAATGTATGTGTACACCCCATGTACTACACTCATGTCAATAGCAGAATTTCATATGCTGATTCCCCATTCCAAGCACAACTGAACACCTCACAGAAAGTCCCTGTCTCTAATGCTTTCCTACTTGTCTTGTCGATTACCTTTACACTTGTCTCTTATCTATGTCGTTTCATTCGCAATTCCTTCTCTAACTCATACCCAGCCTTACAAGTTACAACAGTAAGTAGTCTTAGTGGGGTGGGAGAATGAGTGACACCATATACATGGTGATTTGGTAGGACAAGTGTGGCAGGTGAGAGGCTGAAGGGATGCTCATTGTTCATATCAGAACCTCCTACAGAACTCCCCTACCACTGTTTCACCTCCTACATGACACATGATCACAATGTGGCGATCTGCAGTGTATAACACTCTCCACCTGTATGCCAGAGGCAGATAACTGTTATATATTGTTATATTCACTTAGTTATTTACATTCAATGCAAGGTTCTCATATCATATTTTAGTCAGTGAAACAATTGCTCTTTTGGACCATGCAGTTCTAACTTATGATGAGTCCCCCCCATACCTTTCCATGAGATACTTTTCTCATATAACAGTCCAGATGGAGAAGGTCAATGGTAAGATGCTAATCTCATCTACTTTCCTCCATATTTGGATGCCTCAATGCCTGAAGTGTATATAAGTCCACTCCCATTGTATCATCATACAAGAGAACTCGCACATTTATCTGCTAGCCAATGTGTTTCTTAATCATCAGACACCACACCAGAGAAAGACATGTCCTGCACTGCAGCCACTTTGACAAAATTAGAATGGCTTGGGAGTTCTGTGAGTTCTATTTCTTTGTTGGCATGGGTTTGAGGGCAGAAGAGTGAGGACATGCAACTGATAAGTACATCTGGATGTGAACTCAAAGTAAGTGTCGTGGACATTGAGGAAATGGCAGGCTGAGTCTGTGATAATGATGTTTGGGCCTGGTCTTGACTTTGCGATTGGGCTTGCTGCTGCTGGGTTTGCGATGATGTCACATGAGTCTGCAGTTGATCCTGTGATTGACCTTCCTGCTGCTGTGTCGGTTGTGAATTACTGTCAGTCCTTTGATGATTACATATGCAGCAGAGGTAAAGCACGAGATGACCCAACCATTGGACAGGTAGTGAATGCATAGGTCTTGCACCTGGTGTGGCAGTACCAGCAGACTGAGAGTCTGAAGGATCTGGTTGTGGCTGCCCAGCAACAAATAATGCCTGTATATAAGTCATCAGACACCATACATTAATGCATTGGAGAAAAGACATACCCCCTTGTCCTCCATTGCGGCCACTTCGACAGCATGAGGAATGTCTTCATTGGTGCAGCATTGAGAGCAGAAGAGTGAGAACAGGCAACTGATGAGTCCATCTGGACATGAACTCAAAGTAGGTGTCACAGACATCGAGGGAGCAGCAGGCTGAAAAAGCACAAGATGAGTCAAAAATCAGTGGAATCATGAATGCACAGGTCTTGTGGTAGTATTAACACCTGGAGCAGGTGGTGTTGTGGACGACCCCTGGCCGTGCAATTGGTGTTGCTGTTGTGTTTGTGCTGACTCATTTCTGGCCTGGATAGAAATCATTGATTCATGGTGATGGAGAATGCACATGAAGAAATACATACTTTGCCCTTTGCCAGAGGAATGTCAACAACAGGAAAATCGCGTTGAATTGCGTCATTGGTATTATAATGAGGGGGGCAGTGGAGGTGTGACAAAAGGTGTGCGAGATGGGATGGGCAAATACTATGAGGTTGCACACCATGATAGTCATCAAGAAGATCTTGTGGTACACAATTAAGCACAGGCCGCAGTTGCGTAGTGTTACTCTAGAGTGACAACCTTAAAATGGTTGAAAATATTAATGAACACATCACATACATCCTTGAATGACTTTTGAGTTGTCATGGTGATCTGCGAGTGGGAAATTAGATTAACATCATTTGACCAATGAACCAAGAGATTTACATCAGGGAGGAAGTATTCAAGGCCAACTTCTTTCAGGATGGCATGAATATCCCATACATATGCATTTTTGTCTTCACAACCAGTGACTAAAAGTGTTCCATCAGTAGAAAAGGCTGCACAGGTCACCTCATGTTCATCAACAAAAGTGTCAGTCATGTGTACAGCCAGTTACTACCTTATTCGGCTTATAAACCCTGAACAGAATGGTGGGGGATATGCATGAGATTGCAGCAGTATGCAAGTACTAACAGATGTGTGAAATGTAAAATTTGCATATGAAGTGTGCCAAGCTTGTAAAGTAACTAACAGAAATGCGGAGGTATGCATGAGATTGTAGCATGTATGCAAATTGGTGGCAGATATGTACCAAATGTAA